ATACACCAATCACTAAGAACTACGGTGGTTTACTAATAGTCCCGCTCGGAAAATCGTAATTCGACTATCGTGAAACAAACGATAAAAGAAAACCTTAAATAATATTGATCTTCAGATATTTCACAATTTTCACCACTTGAAAAGGGTTATAATGTTATATCTACAGTAGATAAAGGTGAGAAATAACGAATTTTTACTGTGAAACTCACAAAACCGTGAACACAAGAAATATTTAAGGAATGTTATTGTGTTGCCAGAAATTAGCCAATAAGGCGCGAGATAACTAAAACGCAAACAGTAATGGTAATTAGTTTGTAGTTTTGAGGTTATTTTTGCTTGCTTTGCTTGCTTTATTGTGATTGGCCAGTACACAATTAACAATCCTGTGTGCCAATATCACACATGTACTACGGCGGCAACACTAAGTAATTTGCATCACAACCTTTATTAGGTAGTTTTCCAGGAAGATCATTTTGACAAGCAAATTTACTTGTATCGAAACAATTTTGTATCGAAACGAACGGCCACCGTCATAGCATAAGATCTTGTAATCTTGTCCGTGTGTGGTAAAACGGAACCCGAGGCTCAGCCATGGAGGTAGGTAGGTAGGTAGATAGATAGGTAGATCTAGGTAGTTAGTAAAATCCAACTAGCGGTCCATTGTCAATGTTGAATTCTGATTGGTTGAGCTAATACTAGGCTATATGTTATAGCCCACTAGTAGCGAAAAGCGCTGGCGTTTTGGCGGCAAAAAAGGATTAAAGTCTAGCTTTAACTAGCTAAAGTTGTTTTGTCTCGATATTTTTGACCAACTAGTTGGATTTTACTAAAACAATTATTCCTGTCGCCCTCATGGCCTCTGAGTCAATAGCCCATTCGGCCTTCGGCCTCATGGGCTATTGACTGAGAGCCCATTTGGGCTCGAGGAATAATTGTTAAATACAATTCATTACAATTCAAATAAGAAAACAGTATAAACTATCTACATTATAATAAAAATATTAAAGAAAAAGCTGCTTTCCATGAATGCCATGCCCTTGAGTACTTGTTTAAGAAGACATTTGAATTTCGTAAGAGACTCTGCTTGTCTCACATTACATTGGAGTTTGTTCCATAGGATGGCGCCACTATAGCTAAAGCTATTGTTGTACTAATTTGTCCGCGGTAAAGGATGCAAAGTTAATTCTCAGAGTCTCCAAGGTTATATGCCGTTTCTCGTATTGCAAACCTAGAACATAAATATTCTGGAGCCAACCGGTGTAAAGACTTAGAAACCATCGTGGCTTTTTCAATTTCATGCTGGCGTGCTAGATTTTTCCATCCTGGGAGTTCAAACAGGTAACCAGCGTCTTCATCGTAGTCTGAAAATGTCAAAAAACGGGCTGCTCTAATTTGTAGTTTTTGAAGTTTGTTCCTTAAGGTTATCCCACAGTTTCCGGCCAAAACAGTATTGAAATAATTGAAGTGAGGGTGAATAAGAGCTTGGTAAATTGGGGGACAAGGTGCCTTACTCGCTTTATGGCCCCGATGCCAGAAGATACTTTCTTTATTATCTTCTCCATATGGCTACCCCAATCGCGATTATTATCGATGGTCACTCAAAGAGATTTAGCAGTAGCGACTTGGGTAACTCGAAAATCATTAATTGCAAGTGTTGGAGAAACTGTTACAATACTTAGCCTCTGGCTAGATCCAATTGACATGAACTCGGTTTCCATGAACTCGCAAAGTGCACTTGATAAGACGAAACTTGCTCAAAATACATTCTAGTAGGGCTTTTGTACTGAGAACTTCGACTGAGAATTTATCTCAGAGTTAAGATTTCAATCCATCTATGAATTTTATCGTCTTTGCCGCAGTTGAGCCTTCATTTCTTGAATGCGGTTCACCAACGGACGATTTGAAGTTGCACATTTTCCAAGGACTAGATCCAGGTCCTTCTCGCTTTTCTGAGAAAAAGCTGTTTCCGCCGCATCTTCGTATTTCCTGGGACAAAAATTAAAATGTCGTTTATAAATAGGTGGAACATGATTAGCTAGTTTCTCGAAAGTCCCGGTAACGATTCGGGCCCGAAATAAAATATTTAATTCAAAATTTCAAAGCGGGAATAAAAGGGCGAGTCCTAGCCAACAAACCAGTCAATTTTGTTTTTACTGATAGAAAGCTACACGTCATATCAGTATGGAATATCTGCAAACATTTTTCAGACAAGCTCGCGAGGAAACCAGTCATGGTGTCACAAAATGTCAGCTATTTTCTCAGGGTAGCATCAATTAGCAGTGCAGAACTCGAGTTATTGTTCCCAATCACTTACGAATTTGTATACGCCCAGGGTTTTGTGGTCAGCGGATTCAGTGCGCGCTTCTTGGTTCTGGGGTGAAAGGATGATCGGCATAGTTGCAACACAAGTGCCACTACACAAGGCAAGTTTGTTTAGCCAGCACTTTAAGCACAGTAAAAACTTCAGTGGACTGATAAACTCACCCGGGAAGAACTCTGGAGACATATTTCTCCGCCTCTATTCTGATCTGTTGTTGGATTCCAGGCAAGCTTCAAAAAATGGCTGTAAAAGACGAATGTATATAACATCAACAGCGTCTGCACACTGGAATGTTTATTCACAATGTTTCACTGAGTTATGGAAACTCATGAACGTAGTCTTTAAAAATAAAAAAAGAAATAAATGCTTTTTGATAAATACCGACGAATCTGTACCAACGACCATCTTTCCAAGACGACCATCATTTTATTCCGGCAGACAGTCCGTACATTCACTCTTGAACATTTAATGTCTTACGCAGTGGGGTTAGGGTTTCTTTTGGTGTTTTTCATTTTACCTACTGCCAGGTTCCGGGGGATGTTCCGGAGTGTTCCGAGATACCCCCTTATTCCCCACAATGGCAACTCCTCTAGAAAAGGCACTTTGCTCTAAAGGGAGCCGTTGTAGAAAGGTTCGACTCTGGTACAAAGCCGTTTCCGGTTTCGGGAAAACCTAACTTGCGATTCGGCGGTCCTTTACTCCCTTTCAAACGCTTGTACAGGCTACAAATCAGTGGGGTGAACAAACAAAACTTAACACTAAATGGTGCAACTAAAGGCTATTTCAATAACGGGCTGAGAACGCGAACGAGAACGAGAACGCGATGGACGCGTGAGGATGTGAAAGGACGGAAACCCTTTCTTTCCTCCTCCCTCACGCGCCCTAATTCCCACATTTCTCTTCCCCTTCAAATGCACAGGCTACAAATCAGCGGTGTGCACCTGGAGGCTGTTTCAAAAAAGGGTCCTTGGATGTCAAAGGTCTCGTTGTTTACGCGGTCTCTGATAAAAAAAAAGATGTTACAAACCTTTTGCTCGGAACCTTGAATTCCTTTTTCAGTTGCGCAGCGACTTTTAGGTCTCCTTGAAGTATGCACTGAAAAGTATAAAGTAATCCTTAGAAACTAACCCCAGGAAAGTATGATAGTGTATGGGAATTAATTGACATTGAAGAAAGCTACTTAATAGTACTTAACACGATGCGCGACATAAAACGAACTCGACGAGAAGTGAAGGAAGTAACATGAACAGATTTATTGAACCAGAGATCAATGTTCCTAGCACAGAGGTCACAACTTGATACAGAAGAATCGACGGGGTCGATTGACAAGACAAAAGGTCCTTAAGTTGTGAAATCGGTACAAGTCGTACAAAGTCGGTTCGAACTGAAAACGATAAAATCGAACGAAAACTTAGCTAAAAATACATAGAGTCCAAATATATCTGACTAAAAACCGATGATACCAAATAGCGAACGAGAACTAAATAACACTAGAAAATACACTAAATCAGCCTATAAAGTGATTAAAGTAATACGACGATAAAACTGCTGGTATCAATCACTCAGCATACTCATGTTGAAGAGTAGCGCATAAGAACCCTTAAAACCACTGTAGCTCAGTGATGACAAGACTAAATAGATTCCTCGCATAAACAGAAAAGATTACAACAACGATGTTGCAAATTGATAACCAAAACTAAGCTCTATAATTCCTATGATGAAATCGATACTGAAAAAACTAAAAAGAAAAGAAAAACTATACTCACTTTGGTTTACACATACACCAGTGTTATCTTGAATCAAAAGCTAAGCTGGACTTGATAGTTGATGAGCACGAGTGTAGATAGAAATGAAGCCCCAATGGCTGACAGAAGTTAACACCATGAAGTCTACACTAGAACTGAACTAACTAAGATGAAAACGCTAAATTTGTAATAAAGAAAACGTGCTTCAAAACGATCTAGAAATTATTACGTATTTCCCAGGCGGACATAACAAAAAAGGGCTGGGAAAGTAGCCGTGGGCTTATCAATAAAAATCATCATTTATGTAGGCGATAATTGATTTATAATAACTACCGTAAGCACGTTCGTGCACCAATAAGGGATAACGAAAAGAAATCACGTTTCAAAACCAACACTTTCCACAGCGGTTTACTGTGCTTTCCAAGGTGGTTTTAACTACTTTAAGTCTGGATAAAATCTTTGAGAACAACAATTCGAACGAAAGCTACTGAACAGAGATTTCCTGTATATACTGTTGATTCCAAGTTCTAAGATTTGATTCTGTAGATGCAATCTTTTAGTATGGCCATTGCAATGAAAGCTTGTACTTGGCAGAGATTTCCAGCGGTACTGTTTATTAAGCATATTGATGACATCTTAATTTTGATCATTCAAACAAGAGCTACGGTTCAGACCGATCAATTGAGACTTTTGAGTAACTGACTACCTACCCCTCCCTTAAGTCACAATTTGTCCCTAAATTAGAAGTAGGGGTTAATGTTGACTTAGGGGAGGGGTAGGTGGTCAGTTAACTGGCCTCAATCCACAGTAAAGGCTAACACAGTTGATTGCGTTACTGATCGCACCTGGTAGATAGTATCACTCAAGGACAGATGCATAAATGTCTTTCTGTACTTCTCTTCTAGTTTGACTTGATATTCCATGAGTTTCATTTGTTATTCTGTTGCCTGGAAAATTGAATCGCACATGCATACAATGCATAACTGACAAGAAATGTTTTGTTATAATATTTATAATATAGTTCAGATCAGTATAGTGTTTTCACTCACGTGGCCAGCATCTATGCAAATTTGTTGGAACAAAAGATAGCGTTTGCATATAAAGAAAAGAGTTCAACTCCCAGAGGATTGGTTTGGGACACCAATATGGACGCCATGACGTCATGTGAAAACACTCTTTTAACGCGCACTCTGATTGGATGACAAAGCGTGTTTATCAGGGTATAAAACACGGAGCTTCAGCTTTCACGCCATCTGCCAATAGTTTGTTTTGAAAATTAGAACGTAATGCGTGGCGAATTTAACGGATTCTTTATCATAAAACCAATAAAGAAACCTTTACTGCGCTTTGTTATGTTACAAAGCACTTAAGAACTAGGGATAAACACTCTCGACTAAGTCTTGTGCGTCCCCCTACACTCGGCGTTTCGTACACTAGCCCGGCGCTTCCTCCTGCGTAATAATATTTATATCAGTTCAGAGCACAGTCAAGGTATTTGTTAATGAAACACAGCGAGAGGAGTGGAGAGTTTCTGGGTGCTTTTGAAACGAATGTCGCACGTTTATCCCGTATCCTAGATTACTAGACAAAACATAACATCCGTCTGCTGTTTCTCCACATGGTAAGGAATGAGTGGCTCTAGCGTTGAAGGAGTTTGAAGTATTTTAAATCAAAGCAACAAAGTGAAGAGCACACACCTTTGAGTAGAACTGAAATCCTCCTTGCTGGTAAGACATCTGTGCTTTGGACAATGTGTTCATCTTGGATTCTATTGTCTAAATAATAAAAATAGAAGAAAATCAGATTTTATGTCAAGTGTAGTGACAAGAGATATCAAAACGATGATTCTATTCTATGGCCGGCAACATTTCATAGATAACGAATTTCCTCTTATTTCTCAAGGAATAATAAGGTGAGCGCCAATCTCTTTTCCAAGGATGTGATCCTTTTGGTTCAGGACTAAAAGTAACCGCTCCGCCAGACAAGGTTAGTAAAAGCTCTGCGGAGCACATTGGGAGAGAGACCGGAAGGCGTTACGCAACTAATAATTAACCCTTCGCGTGACGGCCTTTCCTGCAGAGCTGCGATTTTCAGGCGCGCGCGCTTTGTTCGTTGGACGATCCCTGTGAAAAATACCAGCAACCTTGTAGTTTTATGTCTCCTTTGGTTACGTGGTCGCTGCATGTATTAAGGGCCACTATTTACAACGAAGAAATGGACGGCAACAATTAGCGCATGTGTAGTAGATATCACTGCTTGAATAGAACGAATTTTGCTAAAGGTTTCGAGTTTAAACACGAGAAATGTGCGAGTTAAATTACAAATAAGAGTTGCTACACGTATTCTTGGCTCTTCTTGACGCTCAAAATAAACAAGATTGCTGCCGACCATTCGTTCACAGGGGTTTATCCCATTTTCTAACCGGAAAACGTCCCGGCAATGAGGTTGAGGGGAGCTTTGTAGTCACCTACAGTCACGGAAACAAAAATAATCTATGACGCCATGAAGAAACGGAGTGAAGCGTACGCACCCCTTTGCTCAGAATTGAAATTACATATTAAAGAAATAAAATAATAAAACAACATTCGACCAGATCCCCTCCTAAGCAAGATAGCATGCAAGCTACTTTATGTGATACCTTCTCACTGTAGCTGTCCTGCACAAAGGCATTACCACTGTTCATAAACTGGTCATCCTGGTAGAACAGGTCCACAAGTGTACGGCGATCCTGATCCTTGCAGTACTGCAGACAAATCACAGTCATGCCAAAGTGAATATATAGGTTTCACAATAGCCTGCGTGGTAGTTTGCGTAACAGGTGCAAAAACGAGAGAAGAGGGGGAGGGGAGTGAAGGGAAGGGAAAAGAAGCAAAAATGAAAAAAGGTGTCGTTTTTTTTCTCTTCCCTTTACCCCTCCCTTTTTTACTTTTTTCAATACCTCTTAAGCCGCCTGCCACACAGTCTAACGATTTACAATAACCGAGTGATTTACGCGCCCCGATTGGTTGAGAACTTTTGCTTATGACAGTACAGAGAGGAGAAACAGAACTGAAGGTTCTTCTCTTCTCTGTTTCTTGAGTGCGATTCTCCGGGACCTTGAAAAAAACAAATAGAAACGTAGCCATTTTTCACTGCCGCGACTCCGACATTTCAAAGAAATGAGATTAAAAATGCTCCAAACTTTACCGTAAAACCTCTCACCCCTCCATTTAAGTTTTAAACATTTTAACGTCATTTTTATGGCCTTAAAGAATGAACAGAGAAAGGAAAAAATGTCTCCTGGCAAATAATGGCGGATTTTCTCTTGGTTGAAGCCTTGAACAAATACGCACTCATTTACACAACTTTTTTTCATAGACTTACCTTGATGTAGAGGCTGAGAGCCACAGGATGGTAACGTATTGCCATCAAGAACTCACCAAGAGTTAGATTATCCTTCAAATGCATAACAACCATATACACTAGAAAGAAAAAAAAGACAACACAAATGAAATGTCATCTAGATACAGGGGAAAATCAAGTAGGCGGGTTTTGCAAAACGGCAGTTCGGATCCATCAATTTTGATCACCTGACCAGAGAAAGCTGTTACCATTGGAGGAGAGCATGTAAGGATCAAGATGGTTGAAATATACTTGAAATTGTGTCAACGGTGAGGGAAGATCCAAATAATGAGCAACAAAACAATCTCAAAAATGTTTTAAGGTTTGAAACTGTCTCAGCTTGTAACGCCGCTGGTGTAACGCCAACTTTTAAGCTGAGAAAGAGTTTATTCTAAATTTTTGGAACCTTTGGTACAATTTCAACATTACGATAGATCTTTCTATCAGTCGGCTCTTGCGACTACGACGAAACAAAAACGCGCTTCAAAAATTGTTCCCTCCACTATACTCAAAGTTAGCTGTAGTTCTCCGCAGTGGTACCCACTTATAACTCACCCAGATCCGTGTCTCCACTCATAATGGCCTTCTCGAGCGCTAGGTCATCTTTATTCATGCGCATGAGCAGTGGAACTTGGTCAGCGGCTTTTGCTTCATAGTCCAACAGCTAAAGGTAAAAAACCAGACCACGAAGATGTGAGTATCTTAAAAGATACATTATGCATCATGGCATAGCCTGTACACAGACGTTGTTTTATTGTTCTTTTCGTTCATTTCAAATATAATCCCCTGCGGCTTATATTTTATCACCCGCGCTCGACGGACTTTGAACAGGCTATCATGACATGGCTATGATAGGCTCGTTTACCGATTGTCAAACGACGAACTTACTTATGGTGAGATTGCTCCAGCTAGAGGTCAAGGCTGGCTTTAAGCCAGGCTGTAGGCAGGTCTCCTCGTGGAGGCACAAGCGGCGAAGCCACGAGAAAGGCCGTAGGCAAAACCTGGACCGCAGAACCGGATCAGATCATTCCCAGAGGCACTATCCCTTATCTTTCGTTATCCAGTAAGTTACAGGGATTGATCTGACCTGGTCCGTTCCAGGTTTTGTTGACGTCTTACGAGACGAGCATGTTGGTAACCCCTGGACAGAACAATGGTGAAAGTTAAGAAGTTATATTGATCAATGGCCCACGTTCGATATATTAAAATTCTAACATGACTCCAAGGCTTTAGGGTCAAAATTGAAAATTTTTCACGACTCAATTGTCTCGAAATGCCCAGAAGAGAATTAAGCACAAAAAAAACCAAACCCAATAAGGAAAAAATGACCAGAAAGCCTCGGAGCCATATAGCAGCAACATTTCGAGTGCTATCCCTTCTTCGCTCTGACGAAGGGCTAGAGCATGAAACTTGTTTGTATTTAATTTATCAACTCATTTGTTAAATCTCTCCATATTCCATTCCCCCATTGGTCTTCTTTGCAGCCGTACGTTTTGTTTCTCGACATGAGTCCTTTAACAATTGACTAATATTTCACCATAGTGGTGTTGCTGATAATAAAGCGGACCGCCGAACTTATTACAAAGCGCGGTCTTCATACTCCGGATACTGAAAAAAAAAATCTTGATTACCTACAGTAAAAGCAATCTCGCGGGTAAAAAAATCCCATTCTGTACCAACCCCCGTTATTTTAAGCCTCAGTGCATTTAGCAAGGAAATACTAACGGAGGACACCGCTTTATGCCTCAAAATGTGCTTGGAACGTAATCTATAATAAAACTGTTCACATGTGAATGCTCTCAACTAACCTTGATGGCCAGGTGAGTTCGTCCACAGTCCACTGCCTTTGAAGCTATTTCTGAGTACGATATCCCAGGAGTCTCTCCGAGCTTGGAGTTGATAGCACGAGCAATCTCTTCGTCATCGACATTGGCTTGCTGAACCTGTTTAAACAAGAAAAGCAAGTTTTGAAGAGGTGTAGAATCGAAAGAGATGTCAATATATTCAACACAAGAAAAACTATTTACGGACACTATTGTATTCTACTAGGGCGGAGAAGTTAATTTCAATGTGATCATCCCAGCCATGTGAAAGTCCAACTGTTTATTTATTGAAAAAATAAAACAGAACAGGATTAAAAACCCCAACTGGCAGGAGCAACCAGTTGGCTATTTACAAGCATGACAGGGTATCTGAACTTGGAAATGCCGGACCGCCAAGAATTTCAGCAAGTGGCCAGAGTGGGACTCCAACCAGGGACCGCCGGATTGCGAAAACAACGCGATGGGCGCCTGGCCACGCTGTCTTCACCGCGTACAATCCAGTCTAATTGATCTACAACACCGGACACCCAACCCCAGTTGTGTCTATTTCCACAACCATAATTTACCATTACCAATTTTATCAAATTACCAGCCATAAGCTGATTGCAGGAAGACACCTGCTTACATATAGGTAACAGCCAGCTGCTATCCGCTGGTTACACTCACTTTATAACAAGCCCAGTGTCCAAGGATGCGACTGGCACCCTCCTCCTTAGGAATCTTCAGGTAATCACAGATTCTTATGGCCAGACAGTAGTGACGCCTCAAAACAAGCCTACAGGAGCAGAAAATAAACGGTAATAAAATAAACTTAAGCGAAATAATTCCCTCTCCAGGTCTGTTGGCGGAAAAATCAATTTAGTAAACACGGTTTAGACACGGAAAGTAGGCAAGTAAAAAACAACAACTTTGCTTCAGTTTGTTTTATATTCAGTAGGAATGCAAATAATTTTGACATTTAGAAATGATTTATGTCCAACCACGTCACCATTTTAGTCGGGCAAAAGAGAAAGATTATCGGACATACATCATATTAATTTTGTTATTTTTTTCTTAAAATTACTATTTCGTACTATGTACTATAGCAGGTCTGGTGTATAATCAAAAAAAATTTCGACGCTGCACACTATAGAGCCCCCAGCAGCTCAGTGGGTAGAACGTCCGATCTCGAACTCGGAAGGTCGTAAGTTTGATTCTCACCTGAAGCTTGGAACTTATTGAACGTTTCATATTGCAATAAACACTTAAACACCTAATGACTGGTCTCAAGGGAAGCAGAAATTTGTTTTCCGAGTTCTCAATGTTTCCCGAGGCTATATAGCTGGAAATTCATTGAACCTCGCTGTAACGGTAGTCGTCGGTCAACATGCGTGGGTAACAATGCACCGTTCCCTTATGACGTCATAGATTTTGTAATGTTGTCCGCTCACAGATTTGGGCAGGAAACAGTTTCATTGTTAATTGTCATGTGACCTCGAAGAAACCAACGAGAGCGCGCACTGTTATGAAAAAATTTCCAGCTACATAGCAATACACCTTGTTTACCGCCCCCCTCCTCCCTCCCCCTCAAAAAAGGCATAAGCATTGCAAGTTTTACCTTTTTTAAAAAGACAACAAACAGCGTGACAAAAACAAAACTCACCTGTCGATAAGGGTTTTCATTGTTAGTTTTTCCAGTCTAAGACGATCGTCAAGGCGTCAAAATTGGATAATTTTTGAAAAATAATCAAAAGAGTACTCTCAGAGAACAAAAAAGCAAAATGGAGCCCACTTACGAACTTGATAAGAGCCAAAAAATTGAAAACTGTGTTAACGTACTTTTAACATATCCGTTTTAAAAAAGAGAAAAAGGAACATATCTCGTTCGTTCCCTGCAAAAAAAAAAGTAATTTAAACCCCGCAGCTTTGCCCCGTTACATAAATCGCACCGAAATCACCGTTCTCTTGTGTGGACAGAAACACTCTCTGATATGGTTTCCGTGCCGACGCTAGAAAAGGTGTCCGCGCAAGTTCGTCGAAAAAGTTGGGACCAGAGCAATGATAACTTAGTTGAAGATGATGTGAACTACGGAAATGCAAGTTTAAATGAAGATATGATCGTCGCAGCGGAAATTGCAATTTAAGCAACTGCAAATTTACCCGAAAAATAGAAAAAATTTTCGTGTTGCTACGGAGGCTAGCATAGTGTAGACTTGCTGCAACACACGCTGCAATTGGGCAAAATGTAACCTGTGAGACGACGCTTTTGCAACAACTGAAAATTTGGTTCACTCTTGAAATAAGATAAAGGATACTGTCCATATGTAAGTGGAATGCCAACCATGTAGTCCCGCACGGCGTTTAACACTCTAAGATTCCGGCACATCGAAACAAACGCGTGTGGCGGCATATCAGTTAGAAAACTCTTACCAAAGGAAGCAGCCTAGCAAAGAGAAGAAAAGATTACAGCGGAGATCAGTAAAGAAACGGTTATACTATAGGTAAAATTTTCCCCAACATCAACCGCCGGAGCGCTCTTACTGGTTACTACGAGGACACACGACATGTCACACGAGAATTATTTCCCGCCTAAAATCTCTGACCAAGCGACGTTGCAAACTTCGCTTGGTAGATGGTAACATAGCAGTGTTATCGGCGAATGTTGACCACTCGCTGAGATTAGCTATACTTTCAATTCATCCTGTATAACTGAAAAATCACTGAATGACGCGTTCGTCGAAAGCATTAATGAAGTCCTTTATGTCTCTTACTACACTCCTCAAATAGAAACATAATGGACGAACTACTTGCGCTCTTCGCTTTCAATTCAAATTACCCAGATATACTGAGTACAGATTTTCTTTTCACGGCATCACGTTCAACGATTTATGCCCAACCGAAGGAACTTCAGCAGATTAACCAAAACATTTTTAGTAGGAGGTGGTGATTTTGCCACGGAAAACAGATAATGTATTTTTCAAACAATGGTAAATTTCTCTAGCAGTTTACAGAACACCAATCACTGTGTAAGAAACCTTAAACTTGTCAACAACTCCCCCACCCCCTCGGGGCGGGTTGCTGTGAGAATCGAAACGCAGCAACTGAACATGGGATCATGTGGTTGCCATGACTACCTCCCAAACTATACTCACCCTCAGCAGTCCTCTTTGTATTGCAGGCTCATGTTCCCCGGCAGCGGCGTGGATACATTGCTGCACAGCCTCAGGAAGACGTTCTTTGATTATCCGAATGCACTCCTCTGCTCGGGCGCTCTTTTTCTGTTTACAGGAATATACACGAAAGAATCATAACGACAGCTTAATTTTTAGGGATTAAGGTTTTAGTGCAGTTTAGAATCTTTAAGTTGAAACTTTATTGTTGTTCGTCAAGTATTGTTTTTACTATCATGCTACTGCAGCTATGTTTTTTTTCCATTCATTATTGTTCTTTCTTATGAATTCTGTAAAGCGCTATTGAGGTTTTGGACTCAAATAGCGCTATATAAATAAAGTTGATTATTTTTTATTATTTGGAGAAAAGTTGGCTCAGCTAGGATGGTGACCTTACCATGGAAAACAGGTCACCCAACAACAGGCTGCCCAGGGTGGCTCGCAGTGGAGGGTCCAGACCTTCAGATAAGGGGAAGCCCGGTCATTCAGACCCCTGAGATAAGGGGGTGCAGTCCCACCCCAGGATCCTGACCCCTCCCCTAGATCCGCCACTGGCTTGGGTAGGCGGCTGAGCCTTTTACCCGGGACAACTTTTTCCCAGAGAGAGTGAAGCATTGCTTACCTCAAATTCCTTTGATGCATCAAACAGCATCGCACCTGGTTCCATTGAACCGATTTTAAACACTTGTTCCACAGCAGCTGAAAGATGAATAGAAATAGTTGCTCTAGTATCGGACATAATTATTCACATTCGTGATAAGAAGTGGTTCTGGTTGAACGGTAACCGGTCAAGTCGCCCAAAAGTCATATCGCCCGAAACCAGAGTCATGTCACCCGAAATCCTAAGTCATGTCGCCCAAAATTTTATCGAGTGTATAGACTTGAAGAAAAGTAACATCTGAAGTATATCCTAAGGAATTTAGTTCAACAATGTTCAACAATGTAGACTCAACTGTGTCCGGTAACCTATGCAAATGTGAAGTTAAACAAAGACGCAAATATCGCTGTTTACTTTAAGCGACATGACTCAAGATATCGGGCGACATGACCCTGATTTCGGGCGACTTGACCGTGAACCGATTGAACAAGTCACTGGAATAAAGTTTAGGGGCTTTCTGCTTATTCGTGACAACAGGGTACCCATTTTCTTTGGATGGGGAATACTGAATGTAGAGTCAGTCCCATCTGCTTCCGGGGAGTAAGTTGAAAAATCATACATGAGCCACAGCAAGACCACACTGAGCTCAAGGTTAAGTCAACAGTCTCGAAAGTTTATTTCGGTTTAAGCACCTACAGGTAATGAAGGTAATTTGGAAAAGCATCAAATGTCTGTAGAGAAGAAATAAATCTCAAGGACATCCCGGCCACCAACAGGGATTGTTATTTTTGGCTATATTTCGATAGCTTTATGAATCGAGAACAAGACAGAATATCTGCGAGCATTTTGAAACCTTTCACTTGTAGTCTGCTAATACAGCCGTTTCACCTTGCTCCTCGTTGCTAGGGAGGTTTTGCCAGGAGGAGAAACCGCCCGCAATCAACGTAATCATATTTACCAACCTGGAACTCGCTGAAGCAGTTCATGAGTCTCGTTACCAATGATTCTTACGCCATCTAACTCTTGAACTAAATGAACAGCACTGTCCATCTGATATGTGAAATATGTTAAGAAGTCAGGCGCTATCCTTAGCATATGCATACTGATTAAAAACTGAATCATGGGATAATGCAATTAAAGAGCTCTGACTGGCTTAGCCATCATGGAATATGAGCCACATACCAAAATTTGAAAATCGGTTGTTCTTACAAATAAAAACGGGAAGAATTCTCGATATTTTGTGGGCGTTTTTAATAACTAATTATTCCACTCATATCTAACGCGCACTCGTGTAATAATTGTTAAATATATGTCAATATTGTGCTCAATAAAAAAAACTACTCGTATCTACACTAGTAACAATTGTCAGTTCAAATCAAGGGTGTTTTTAGTAACACGATCAATATATAATTGTAGAATGACAGCACAATTACCAACTTGGCCAAGCCAACACTTACAACAACAAGAAGAAGAATATTTAATTCTAGCATGCTCTAGCAGTTAGATAGCTTGCCCTGCAAATAGTTGGAAAGCTAGTCGGATCATGATAAAGAATGATCTTGTTAATCAAAGGATATCTAATAGTGTCCATTGTCGGTCCAACAACATCCAAAAATCGTCCCAGTAACATATGACAGCGCCCATTGCACACCTGTAAGGTATGTTGAAATAAGTAAAGATCGGAACACACAAGGAGGCAAGTTGCAGCAACACGTTGCGGCGACAGATTACTCCCTGTCTACAGGTCAGGAGATTAGTTGCAGCAACACGTGACGGCGACACATCGCTTGATGGGTGGCGGAAGAAAGAAAAACACCGATGGCTCTCAGTTTGAATTCAAAAGAATGGCCCGGCCAACCGCGCGAGAATTCGCCATAAAAGACGAGAGCCTTCATTCTAGAAAGAACAATTGCTCCCTCCTTACCAGGTTAGTTGCTTGGGTCTTGATGGACAAGAAGTATTGAACTCACAGTAGATTTTCTAAAGAAGACAGAAATACAACAATAACTGCAAAATTCAAAGAACTGCGAAATACAGGCGTACTTAAGTTGAGCTCTTCAGGGCCTGGCCTAGCGGCCCGGGTTGCTAAGCTTCCTCGCTTTGCGGAGATGTCGGCAAATTAAGTGAACGCGATAAAAATCAACATTGCCATAACAAGAATTTGTTTTTGCACGGTTTCCGAGGAAGAAGTGGCTAAACTAAATTAATGATGATATCCCACCATGGAGAACTAAGGCGGATACAAAAATTTTAATTTTACGGGTCTTCATTTGTCACAAGAAAAGATACCTCAAATTCAAGTAGTATAAACAAATCCTTTTTACATGCTTTCTTCAACCCTTGATATAGAATCAAAGCTAGTACTACCAGTTGAATTAGACCGCCACTCGTTCTCATTTTCTAAGAATCCGAGTCTACTCGGCGCTAACTGCTTGAACTCGTCCTCTGATAGCTGAATTTGCGGGCTGAACAGTGTGACAGTGTTATACCCACCCGTAAATCTGCTGATCCTATCCATAACAAACCAGTATCTGTAAACATTGCTAAGTATTCATAATTGTAAGATATGGCCATTTCTATGATGGAAGTGACCGGGGCCCCAGCGCTGAATGAAACAGTCTGAAAATTGAATAATATCAAAACTATTCAACAACAACAGTAGCCGGCAAGCATACTCACTTGTGTGAGTTCGGTGAAGAATTTGTCAACATTATAAACGATCGAGACTTCGCTATTTCATATTTAAAGTTGTGACACTGATAAAGCCAGAGATGTACAATATTCTCATTGCGACATCTCAACACACTTCTCTATTTTTTCCCCTCCGTTCCTTCCTTCTCCCTGCACCCACTGCTTTGCTACGCCCTGTGGCTGATTCAGGATTGGTAAAAAGTAGCAACCTGTCTTACACTTGGCACTCAAGAGGAAGTTTAGGATGTCGAGACAGCGACAGCAAAGAGAAAGTCAAAAAGGAAAGAGGACGAATTTTCGACCGGCTGAAAATTCAGTCGAACGTTCACTCGAATTCGCAACAACGATTTTTCGCGCAAGCCGCAACACGGTGTTGCAACATTGTTGCGATATTGTTTCGAATGGTTGCAACGTTGTTTCAACATTGCAACGCTGTGTTGCGGCGCATCGTCTCCTATAACATCACCTTAACCGTACGAAAATCCAGACGCATAGCCGTTCAAAGTTCCGTGTGAACAGCGAAATATATTGAACGGTCCCGGGTGAACGATGTGTCCGGTCAAATGTTTTTAGCCGGTCGAAAATTCGTTAAACGATAACTCTACACGTGCATCACGCTTCTGGTACATTTTGCCGAGCGGGCAAATTTCCTAATTTCACGTTAATTGTATGGAAAACGTGAATACTTTGATCAATTTTTCTCTTGAATGCGGCCTCTGAGAATTTAACCCTAGAAAAGCCCAAAACTCGCCCGCATTTGAAAAATTGGATTCGTCTCCAAGAAGTTTCAAACAACCCGAATTCTCTTTTAAAGAGACGTTTTCGCCACCGTTGCTGAGTTGCAATCGGTGTGCAAATATCTGCTTGGTAAACTTTTCTTCAAATCCTGAAACAGACGTTTTAAAGACGGGAACTTCATGAAAAAGCAAGCATGTCTCGAGGTTGAAGTTATTTTTCATGGATGAAGAGAAACAATGATTGAATTATAAGTGGTTGTATCACGATAACAGTTCTACTGCATACTACAGCCCACCAGTCTATTACACTGTCCCTTTTCTGTAAGGTATAACAGATTATCAATTGCCACTAGCAACGATCAACCTCTGTCATGCGGCATAATGACCCAGCTGCTGGGTGGAGCATCTAAACCTGGTTAAAAACATTATGGGTCGGTTATTTAAACGAAGTTTAATTTAAGCCGGGGTTTAACGAATCTTTGGACCTCCAGAATCTCTTCCTTAGTGCGATATTTTAAGAAGATAAATGCTTTTCTAACCTACTCTATATGCTTTCATAAAACACTTCACAATAAACGGTGTTTAGATAAAACCGTTGGGCAAATTGAAAATGGCTCAGAACGCGGTTTTGTTAAACACTGGCTAAACTACGTTTAAATAACTGGCCCTATGTTTCTTAAGATTCATGACTGGTCATTTTTTGCCGTCCGGTTAGCTCAGCTGGATAAGCGCCGGTCTGCTGAGCGAGAGGTCGCTGGTTCAACACACCGGCTGGATCAACACTTAGGCGGGGGTCTTTTAATGCTGAGCAGAAAGTGCTGCCTTTCTAAAGACATCTGCAAACGATTAGACTTTCTAGTTTTCTCAGATAGGGACAGCCCTCAGGTAGTTAGGTGACAGAATTTTAACGAGTTGGGATCGAGAGCAGTTATTGTTTTCCTTGTGAAAAATGTGGCAAAATACACATTTAACTACGACAGATCATTGTAAATATTTAAGAGAAGAAAGCCTGAAAATATTCTCGCCGCAAAAACAAAAGTTAGAATTCAAGCCCACTTGCAGTCAGTCAAATGCTACAAGGAATAATGCGTGACAAGATTCCTTTATTGCCTGTTGAACAACACTTTAACTCTCATCAAATTCAAACTTATCACCAAAGGAAAGTGAGACACAAGCAGATATTGAGTTCTATAGATCACAAAAGCACGTGAGATGAACATGTAACTTCAAAATAAAACATTATTTACCTGGTGGGTCATAGTACTGTCGACTCCTGGCCTCTTCCACGTTGTTTGCAACATAAAAGTGGTAATTACCAGTCAGGATAGCTATGCCAGTCCTTCCAGCAAAATTATAGGTTTTGCAGTCAATAACTTTACATTCCTTGGCATCCTACAAAAAACGCAGATAACAATTACGAGTTTCGTCTCCTGTACCCAACTTAAAAGCACCAGATCTATGAAGTTGCTGTGTATTTGATAAGGCCACATGCAAAAACAACATAAATACAATGTCTGTTATGGGTTAAAATCATATCCAGGTTGATTCTTGATTTCCTTTGTCTCATAGAGTTAATTCACGAATAAATTAGGACTAGGGGACAAAGGAGATAGAGAATCAACCAAGGCTAAAAGCTTTTAACCTGAATTGAAATTTTGACCTGAAACATACACGACATATGGGTAATATTATTCAATGGCTATGCCTTTGCTACAAAAAGTATATGTATGAGTATACTCTATTTTTGTACAACACCTTTAATAAAGTAGCAAACAGTCTATGACTTATGTTTTTGATGATAATATATTATAAATTACATTCATTTTGCTCATAGTTATGGAAAAATTAATGATTATTTAATTTGTCAGAAAATTTATTTACTTGGGGTGGTTAAAGAATTTACTGACATAAGATATGGCATCAATGGGCTAAGATGAGCTTCAAGTTGACTAGAAGTTGTCAAGCTGTGGTGCTTTACATACATAGATGCATCATGTCCTCTTTTTCAGCCTTTTCATTACACAAAATGATGTAACACTTACCTGTCCCATTGACAAGGTTTTCTTGATTGCGCCATGAATGTCATACACCATCACGGTACCATCATCAGCCACGCAAAGTAGGTCCTCTGTGATGGACCATCCCATCTGAACTATGGGGCCTCCATCCCACTAAGAATAAAAAAGAACTCTTGATCAATAGCCTACAGAAGCAGAACATTTTTGCTTTTGTTCTTGTTCCCATGCAGTGATGGACTAGTCTTCTTCAGTGCTGCTTTTAGCGTTGTCACGCAACGCTCCTCCCCACAAGGGAGGTGGGTAGGAGCATTGTGTGACAACAATAAAAACGGCTGTGAAGCAGACTAGTGATGGACTAAGATAGATCCATTCTGCCTGCTTCAGTAACCAGTCAGAATATTACTTCATCTTTCCTGCTCACAGAACTAACCATATGATAATACAAGTTCCTGCCCTTTTCCAATGTAATAACAGAAAATGATGACAGTTACTCTTCCGGCCAAGAACAATGTTGACAAAATTTGTCAACATTAAACAACAAGTAGCCTGCTCGGCCTGGTCGACACTCCTCTTTGTCTGTGTTCCCAGGTTAAACAACAAGCAGCAGTAGACCTTAAAAAAAGACACATATCTTGACTGTGGCAAGTTCCCTTCCAGCAGATGAAAAAATGTGAAGATGGGTTTATTAATAGCTGATCCTTGGACTCGAGCAAAATGCTTGTCATCTCTTATCGGAGCTGAAAATTTTAAATACAACAAATACAAACCATTCCTCCAAAAAGGAAATCTCAATGTGGGGGGCTGCAGGACATGTAAATATTTTGGTGTACCGTCCTCACCCCCATGTACAGTTGTGTAGGAGCTGCTCGTATTCCGTAAGGTCTCTCCTAATTGGTCGCAGAAAACAATGACGTCATTCTTTCAATTGTTTCAGTATTGTTTGGGGTCAGGGTTAGGCACCATTGGTGACTTCTTTTCTGAGCAGCTGCTACATGACCCCCCATGTATGTAGAAGAGGACATGAGTTAGCAATGGTGTGCATTAGCGATTAAACCTTCTTAAATCCCAATCATCCCAAAAATACACCACAGGGGCAATTTAGCATGGAACCCTTCAATTACTTTTTTTTTTAACTATTACTGACAGTTAAGCATCTAGATACAACACAGCTGGACTGCTTTTATCAATTGCATGTTTTATGCACTAGCTGTTCTAAAATAATTAGAAGCAGGATGTTCTTCAGAGTTGTTTTCTTCCTTTAAACTTTTTTCAGCCAAATCCCTTGACATGTACAGACAGTTGACTGAAACAAAATTCTGGTACAGTATAATGAACTCTTGCTGATATAGACATACCTTACAAATTAATGCTGGTACTTACAGTGCTGTTAGGAGCATTTCTGTGGTTCTGGCTCTTAAACGTTTACCCAGGTGAGTCCTATTTACCTTAAGATAATGCAGGGAAATGAAACCTGACCACCCTGTTGGTTAAACAACAAAGAAGAAGTCTGATGTACTTACCTATTGGACCACCAAAAGGTGCACTCACAATAAACCAGGATAGATCCACAGCATCTTGCCACTCCATACTGTACAGCTCTACTTTCCTGTTCAAGACAAACACATTTTGGGAAGAAAACTTCTGCTGTAATTCAGTTATGGCTACAGTGTGTACATTTAAAATATTTCTCCATCCCTGACTGATTGGCTTAAATTCCATGGCTGCCCCGGTATTTCTTTCCTGAGCCTGCTGGCTATTTACCAAAATTGAAAGAAGTTTGCTTTGATTTAAAGGCTGATGTCAATAGTAAAGTCTCAGACTGGAAAAAGTCAAAAAAAAAAAGATTAAAGGTGTGTGCAAGCCAAAGGCCCCAAAAGGCTGGGGCTTATCCCAGCTTCCTTAGCATGAAGCATTACTATAGGAGTCTTGCCATTCCCCCTTCCTCCCATGATGGGATGCTAGTCCATCGCAGGGTCACCCCCTAGCAGTATTTTGCGGGTATCCATTTATACCCCTGGGTGAAGAGAGACAAAGTGGTGTAAAGTTCCTTGTCTAAGGAAACCATTTGAAACGCGAGGATTGAACCCTGGACCTCCAGATCCGGAGTTCAAGGTGTTAACCATTCTGTCAGACACACCTCCAAACTGGAAAAGGATGCACAGAAATCAAGCAAAGAAGCAGAGTGATGGTTTGGCTGTTTTGGTGTTGACGACCAAGAGTAAATGGTAGAAGATTTCACATGTTATGGGTAGATTAATGCCTGAGTCGCACATGGAGGTTGGGTGCCTAGGAACCTATGGGCTGGAGCCGCCAACCCCTAACCCAGGTAGCAAGAACACCCCAAAGGCTTGCCCTACATGCAACCCAGCCACGAGCCCCGCCAGCAACACCAAGCCTCAGCCAAAGCACCCATCACACTGAACTGAGAGTTCAGTGGAGAAAAAAGGACCACAATAATACTAACAATAATAATAAGGGGTGAGGAGGAGGGAGGGGAAAAAACACTAACTGAGTAACACTGACCAAAACACCTGAACACTACGCACTTTAAAACTACGAGCATATCATTGCAAACGGAGATGCATAAATTGCAATGGAAAACCACTGACCTGGGGGGCACTGGAAATTATCCCATAACAGGCCTAGTACAGTAACATGAACCCCGGCAAAAACAAAAGAGCATAGGATAACTGCCAGCTCGCCAAAGCACACCAATAAAACCCTAACAAACGTCAACGCCACGCTACAGTACAGGCCACAGGCATTGCAGCATTACACGCGTGTTTCATGCGTGGAAATCCGCCATATTGCATGCAAATTCCACGAGAAAAACACGCATGAAACACTCATGTAAAAAAATACACGCAAAAATACACGAGAAAATACATGCAAATTAGGAAAATTTACGTGTAAAACTTTACACGCAGGTTGTTATAATTTGCGTGTATTCGGTTTAGTTGAGTTCTTACATCACTCGCTGAGTGAGTGCAGTTGTACTTGTGCAAAAAACTTTTGAGAAACATTCAAATGTTAGTATTTAATGTTATCTGGGCTAAAAGTGATCCAAGTTTTTCGACCGAATGAACATTGTTTTTAAATATTTACATGTTCTTCGCTTGAATGTTCATTTGTAGACTTCACAGAGATTATAAAAAGGTTTCAACTAAAATCAGTTTCAGTCATCAATTCGCGACTATTTTGATGGACCAACTATGTTTGGTGAAGGGTCGCTTCTACATCTATTTTGTTTACAGCATTTCATCTCCTACTTCTATTTAGCTCGCTGCTTTGAGTTATTTTCTCGGGCAACAATTTCCTTTGTCCTCTGTCCTTGCTGCAAGGTAGGTCCGAAATAAGAAAGGCTTGTTATTTTGGCAAGAATTTTTAAAGTTTCTTTTTGCTCGCAACACCGGCGTCACTCAGTCACGTCATCTGTCTATGTTTAATGGCGTTACTGCAAGAACTAATTTTAGTTCCCAGGTTTTAGTTTTACCTGCCGAGGAAGGGTTTTCTTTTAAGGTCTATGTTTTCAGCAAAGCGTGTTTAACCCTTGTCAAGGGCAAACAAAATAACATGCTGCATTTTTATCGTTTACACAAGCTTCTAATTCCAGAAAATGCATGGGATCAAATTACTTAAAATGTTGTCTATTTTTAATAGACGGCGCGTCACAAATAACATGCAAACTCGGAGTGAAATTGTATCCAAGTTTAGTAACGCATGGAAATTTTTAAATGAGCAACAAGTAACGACATTATTGTGAAGCTCGACGCTCATTCAATGTTAGAAAAAAGGCAGACAGAAAAAAAAAAAAACAGTGTACTGAAGTCCGGGTGCCTGCTACGCAAGCTAAAACATTGAACTTATTGCAAAACAACAGTCGTGGCAAGTAACATTGATCCAAGTTTACACGTAAAATAGCGCTTCAGCCAACATCCAAGGAAATCGTTCATTACAAAACATGATGTTCGCGATTGTAGCATGATCATAGTAAGAAAAAGTGTATAGCAAGTTGTTTTCTCTTTCACCGCGAAAAGATGTTTTTCCACAATGTCGGTTTCTAATTTTACATCAGCCACATTGTCTGTTGTAAAAGAAATACATACAACTTGCGTGTATTCTTGTAAGCAAAATCAGTCACTGTAAAAGTACACTCAAATTTGCGTGTAAAAAGCCTGCATGTAAAAGCTCATGTTTAAATTTACACGCGAGTTTTTTGCGTGGATTTTTCGTGGAAATCCGCCATATTGCACGCACTTTACGCGCGTGTAAGTGCTGCAATGCCTGTGGCCTGTACTGTAATACCAAGCTAACTACTGAGCAGCTACTGGAGCTTTTCATCGTTAGCTAAGTTAAGTAACTATATTTAACCTCATAAAATTTCCTGAACTTCACCCTCAAAAACTTTGAAATAACACACAAAGACACTGAAAACTACCATTTGAAGAATATCAGCAAGAATATTATGTCCCCTCATAATCTGGAACTGGCAAAAAACAGGCAGATGTTTGACTACTGGAATTTTACATAGAGGTAAGGATGTCTTCAGCTTGGAGGAAATATTTTGAATGAATAATAAAACAATAATAGGTAGCATTTTATAATTATTAGCCTGCGTAGCTGGTGGTATAATTTGTGTAGTAGTCGAGTGAGATTTGGCGGCTGAGCCGTTGTAACATAGTCGAGTGAGATTTGACGGTGGAGCCGTCACGAGCAGCAAAGCCACGAGAAATACCGCCTGCCAGAGAACCATGATTTTTTTAATGCCGCCCACTTTTGTCACCTTAGGTGATCCCAACTGAATCAGCCAATCAAAGAAAAACCTGCAATTTGAAACTTCCAATTATTTTTGCACGAGACAGTTCAGAAATAAGCGTTGACAGGCTAAACACGACTCCTAAGCTCGTGATAATGTGAAACGTGACCTTGTGAGTTTGCTTGAAAAGAAGTTTTTTTATTTTCTTGGCTCTCGCACGAAGGTTACTAGCACTACACAGTACAAGTATCATTCTAAACTCTGACTGAGTAAATCTTTTTTTGCCACACTAGGCTTAACATTAAAAGGTCATGAAGCTGGTTTGTTACATGCATACTGAGTAACCATTTCCTATGGTTTATTTAATTCTTCTGTAGGTGTTCCTGATAGGATTTGATCTCAGATGTAGTTGTAAAGTGTTTTAATTTCCTTTGACCTTTGTTTCTTACGGCTAAATAAGGACGATTCCAGCGCTGTGAAGTTTAAAGATGCCATTTCGGCAATTTGGTCATCAATTATGCTCTTTTTAAAGGAGAAACCACGATCACTTTCGTCTTTTCCAGTTTGCAATCTGCTCCCTTAATTGGAAAATACATGCGAAGGATCATCTAACATGATTGACATATGTATGGCCCTCGACCAATCCGTTTCTCCGCACACTGGTGTGCGGACTATTCAAAATACCGGGGTTTTCTGGCAGGCGGTATTTCAACCGCCTCGTCCCTGCTCCCTTTTTTTGGAACACAGCTCCGCCGCCAAAACTTCAATCTCGTACCCACACAATACAATACCGCCAGCTACGTAGGCTATATAATTATGGGCCGAGCCACAACTTGCATGGAGACAGTCTGAACTGAAAAGAACCACTTACCTATAAAATACCTTTCCAAGTGGATTCCAATCAACTGTAACGTGAGCCATGTTATTCTCTGAGAGTGAATGAAACGAGTAGCAAGTGCAATCGGTGTAGTTTATCCAGGGTCTAAGAAATGCAACATTTGTAAAATTAATTCTGGTGATCGCAGATCCACCATTTTGTTTTTGCATCTGCACATCAACTGGTCAGCAGACCCTGTAACAAGTAGAAAATCCCATGTCTCCTCTCGAGTAATAATTTTCTTCGTGTAAGCGTACACGAAAATGCTGGAAGTGTTCAAGATGGCTGTCCCCAAAGCGAAGGGCTATCGGCCCAGATGCTTCTTTGATGTTCAAATAAATGGATCTCCAGGTAAGAAACGTTAAATTCCTCGGATTAAATGTTTGCATTGGCTGCTGTTTTTCAAAATTTAATTTATGGAGTCACTTGGGAAGAGAAGCGGGTGAAATTCAGGTTATAACTCTCAATGATATGGAAATACTTATAAGCTTAAGCTTATATTAAGCTTAATACAGCAGAAGTTTGTTTCTTTGATTTTAATCAATTTTTATAATTTTAAACTTAAATCAATATGGCTGTGCAGTATTGGTTATGAATGCTTCCTTCTCTTGATTAATGATTTGAGCCTGTGTGTTAACACTGGGATAATCTAATCTTTTTTATGGATTATTTTGCCCAATTGATTGAAATCAATAAGGTTTCCAATGAGCAACCTTAGTCTGCTTGTAACATAGAAAGAGAAGTAGGTGGGTACAAAAGAAGGCAGGTTTGAAAGAACCTCAAATCTAAAACTCTTAAATCTTGCTTGATTTAAGAATTAACTTTGCATTCTTTGTAGCTGGCAGGATTATTTTTGAACTGTTTGCTGACATCTGTCCTAAGACATCTGACAACTTTAGAGCATTGTGCACAGGTAGGGAAGTACGTATTAATGTAGATATATGTACTACCACTGCCACTACCAACTATTATATTAATATGTGACCTTTCACGCGAAAACGTACTATAACGACTTTCCGTTAAACGGGTGAAATGAACGGCCATCGAACGGGTTACAAACGGGTCACCAAGCCGTTTTAAACGGGTTTCAATGAGTGTTCGAACGGGTGATTAAGTATTCGAGCGGGTAGCTTAGCCGTTCGAGCGGCTCGGGAAAATTGCGAGCGGGTAGCCTAACCGTTCGAACGGGTCGAGAACATTCGAAGCGGGTAACCAAACCGTTCGAACGGCTCATAAAAAATTCGAAGCGGGTAACCAAACCGTTCGAACGGCTCATAAAAAGTCCGAGCGGGTAACCAAACCGTTCGAACGGCTCATAAAAAAATTCGAACGAGCGATCTAAACGTTCGAACGGCTCATGAAATCTTCGAACGAGCAGTCACGAACGGCTTACAAACGTGATGATTGTAATTTGTTTATTTCGAATGGTGCCGTGCCGCTACACATCTCACTTAAAATTAATTTCGAACGGATGGCTTTCAATCGTTGAAACTGCTCCTGTTTATTTCACCACTGAAAGCCAAAGAAAGTAAACTTGAAACGCAGAGAACATTCGTAACTGAGTTTGCTGAAGCGGAACTCGAAAGAAAATCAACGGCGAATGCAAACTTGCTAAGTATTTGCGGTGATGTTTTTTCTAGCTTTCTTACAAAACAAATACCCAACTTTTTGTTTCTAACAGTTCCCGATACATTTTCAAATTGTATGCTATGCTGACCTTTAATTTGACTACGACTCAAACGCATTCCCGTCAGTTCAGTTCGATTGCGTGTCACGACACCGATCTCGATAAATTTGCATACAAGTTACACAACAGTGACAGGTAACACAACACCAGCCAATCGCATCAATCACGTTGACAGTCGGACGCGTTGTCATAACTACTCTCTCGCAGGAACTCTTCTTTACAGCGAAAACCTTCATCATGGCTGAATGCGATCTGCTTGACGTGCTCAAAAGCGAAGAAATCATAGCTAACGTGGCAAAATTTCTACAAGAAGGATGCGGGTGCTCTCGTGGCTCGAAAGGCGGCCAGTGTTGTGAATAGTTTTCGAAGGAAGTTGTTCTTTCCAACCGCATTGTAACACAGAGTAGAATTTAAGAAGTTCGCTTCTATAGGCGACTGATTACCGTATGTTTAGAAGCGCAAAATATATTTTCTGCAAGAGCTCTTCGCCTGTAATAATAACTTTGCGAGAAGTTTTTAAAGAAATTACGCGAGTACGCGAACAGGAAAAGACAACCGCTCGTATGACTGTCTCATACTCAAGTCGTTTGAACGGATGGATGTTCCAGCGAACGGGTGAGCAAGTCGTTCAAACGGTTGGATGTTTTTAGCAAACGGGTGAGTAAGTCGTTCGAACGGTTGGACGTTTTTATCGAACGGGTGAGCAAGTCGTTCGAACGGATGGATGCTTTTACCAAACGGGTGAGCAAGTCATTCGAACGGCTGGACGTTTCTGTCGAACGGGTGATCAAGCCGTTCGAACGGATGCAAATTTTTTTCAACGGATGACCCAGGTCGTTCGAACGAATGCAAATTTCTTTCAAACGGCTTTCAAACGGGTTCTAAACGGAATTCCGTTCGAAAACGGAAAGCCGTTATAGCACGTTTTCGCGTGAAAGGTCACATATTAATATTAACCCATTCGCCCCTGAACCACCCGTAACCGCCCGTGCGGATCCAGGTCCTTTCTACCCTTTGTGACGTCATCAGTTTTAACGGTCAAGGACAACTTTCTTCGCTAACTTGTGCAGGGTGAAGAGATCTTTCAAACCATACCAGAATGAGCACAATTCAGTCAAGGACACCGGAGAAAGAAGCAAAAACCACGTGACAAGGACCCGAAAATCTCCATGAAAATCTTGTTCCATTACCCACCTACCTTTCCTTTCACCTAATCCTAAGATCCTAAAAGCTTTCCTAAAAACTCTTCCCACCAAAATGAAGCCTACTAAATGCCCAGCAAGAGAAAAAAAAAAATGAGGCAAGAAAAGCGAAAAAAGAAGGGAGGAGAGAAAGCGAAAAGTAAAAGTCAAGACTGCTGTGTCACTTTTAAACCCAAATTTAAACCGAAATTTTGCTTTCTGCGCATGCCCGAACTTCGTAAGCTCATATTTTGCATCTGGATCAGAAGGCCACCAAGTGTACGACCTGTAAACCGGTTTGTGGTAAGTTTTAGCTCTTTATAGCACGACAGTGACCAGAAAACCACTCGACTAGCTTCAAAACACATTTTTCAGCAAAATCTCCAGGAGCGAATGGGTTAATAGTAAAAATGATAATGATAATAATAATAATGTCATTTTTCATATTACATGTAAACGTTAGTGTTTTAGAGTTGAGATTAGTTGATGCGTGGTTGGCCATATACTCACTTGTAAGTGGGATGGAGTCATAATATTAAATTCATGGTCACTTCCTTTTTTGTCTATTTTACTAGTGCATACATACATACACACGTACACACATTTTATTTGTTACACATGTATATACAGTTTATTTGTATTTTAAGATTGAAGCACTATTGTAACATACCCGGCCTTGGGTAGCTATGCTAATCTAGTGGGGTCCTGTTTTCAGGAAACAAATACAACTAAAAGTAATAATAGTGTTCCAGATAAGAGAGGGGTCTTGGGTCAATGACCCAACAAATAAGGCTTCCTGACCTGACAGATGACATACAAGTATTAAGTTAAATATAACGAAAAAAATTAGCAGGTGGTCTTGGTGACCCCTTAGATTGTCTACATGACCCCCCTGTTGAAATAATTAACTGGAACACTGAATAAGAGGCCTAAAAAAATGCCAGAATTGACATAATGATGAGAGACTCCTGATAAACTAATGCAATAGTGCATAGTGTTATGAAATTGCTGAACTCTTAAGGAAATTAATGGCTATTTTTTAAGTGATCAACGTGACATTTCATGGAAACTTCAGGCAAGATTTTTTGGATTAACTTTGAACCTGTTTTTTAGGAGAAAAAGGTTTAAGCAGGACTTCTGGGAAGCCTCTTCACTATAAAGGATCAGGGTTCCATCGAGTTATCAAGGAATTTATGATTCAAGGAGGAGACTTTACTAAAGGTATTTTTATTTTTATATCAAGATGGTAAAAGAAAAGGCACACTTAAGCTAAAGGCTCAAATGGCAGGAGCAGCGCCGGACAGAATGCTAGTCCAATGCAGGGTTACCCTCCAGCAGTATGTCGCCAGTGCCCATTTATACACCTGGGTGAAGAGAGGCCAAGTGGAGTAAAGTTCCTTGTCTAAGAAAACAATGCAATGGGTGACTTTGAACCACAGACCTCCAGATCCAGAGTTTGAGGTGTTAACTGCTCAACCACACATATCAAGATGGCTCAAATGGACTTTTCAGAGTTAGAGCCTTAACTATTGTCATTAGCAAAGATACTGGAAAACAATCTCCTTTAATAGCTGTATTGTTACCTAGGAATTTGTTATGACTGATGTTATTTTGACACAAGAGTTTTCATCACAATGTGTAAGTAGTTTGTAAGTGTGCCTAAGTGTAGTTTTTGCAAAAGAAGTTGCAGATTGTTGCAATAAAACCTTTTTCGATGTATAAATGGTAGGTTCTGTATCTTTACTTACATTAATAAGATCTTTTTGTGAGAGTTGCGAGGGAGAGGTTTTGTAACAAGAACAGCAGTTTTTCACAGAGTTTTTAAAAGCTTCTGACTATTAACACCTGATGCAAGGTGCTTGTTACTTTTCATGTTCGTATCAGATATTTTTTTGATCTGTAAAACATGTACTACATCAGTCTTCTAGGTAACACTAAGCAAACTTTTTCCTTGGTTTCTCACTGGATGTGTGTCAATAATTTTTTGCCAAAAATTGCCGCTTCAATGATTCTTGCACTACGCGATTCTAGTAGCGTGATGATAATCACGTAGTGTGCAACAAGATTCTCATTGTGTAGGAAATGAGACATGACTGGTAACTTACTTTTGAGTGGCACTGTATGTCATGTGCTGTACAAATCATTCTTTGCAAACCTTTGATCAATTAGAGCATGCATTTAAAATTTGTGACGTGATGAAATAAATTATATTTTTCTATTAATTTGTCTATCACAGGAAATGGTACTGGAGGAGAGTCCATTTATGGTGGCACATTTAATGGTTTGTAGCTTCACAGTATTAATCTCAATAACAGGACGTGCACTTAGAGTCATATTTAGTTGCAAAAATTGCTGAGGATTGAGTATAGTAAACCTCTAATATCTGAATTGACTTTGTGTTATAGTCAAACAGGAATTTTATCAGTAGTTTGTCAGGCCTCGTTGTAAACATAAAATTGAGTTGACTACAGTGAAACCCTGATATAACAAAGAGCCAAGGGACTGGTGAAATATGTTAATGTCTCTGCTCCTTTATGATGCATGTTAAATGCAAAGTAATTTAATTATAAAACAAATAATGACAAGTTGGGATTAAATAGGGGAGCACTGCCTTGCGCTAGGTTAGCCTGTGCGACTTCCGGCAATGGCGTGACCAAAAAACCTCACGTATCTCCTCAGCACTACGAACTGAATGCAATACAGCACGTGCTGGATCGAACAAGAGTATCTTTTTGCAGGACATATTAAATGGCAATGCAGCCAACAAGCTTGGGGGGAGTGGCTGTGCAGACTTAACCGTACCTCCGAGGAGTGTCCCTAGTTTATTGATCGCATAGCACAAAACAAAGCCCAAACCTCGATTGTCTCCAAAGGGAAGGAGGGAGGGAAAAATTTTACAAGAATAGTATACTGAGCGCTTAAACCTTGCTGAACAATAGAACCCAAGTGAACTCTGAACAGTTGTTCTTGGCTTTTATAACAAGACGAACATCTGCTGGCATAGCCAGTGGAAAAGGCTGTGCTACAAGACAGCTCAGCATTGCATGTGCAAATTCTTAGCCATAAATAGTGCTTTGAAAATACTGGCCAATACTGTGGCTCGTAGTAGCCTACTTAAGACAGCAAGGCTGTAAAATTCTACGCTAGAATACAATGCATCTTAGAGCTTGCTGAACTTGACAACTTGACTACACAACTGCTTTATTGAAAAAGAACCGCAATGAAAGGGTTGCTGATAACTAGCATCACGTTCCATCAACTACATTTTACTGGTGTGACAGTGAAATTGCTTTTTGTTATAACAAGGTTTCGTTGTATCGAGGTTATTTTCCATATATTTTATTATTACTATACTGGGGTTAAAAGAAAATCGTTCATTATATTGAGGACTTTGTTATATCAAGGTTCTACTGTTCTGCAATGACTCTTATCTCAGGGCTGTCGCTAAAATTTCAAGTTGCTGGGTAAATGCAGTTAGTAGGAGGGGAATTGTACTGAGCTAGGAATTAGTTCTTTTGGTTCTGTTTTCTTCTTGTTTCCTATAAGAGAAGCCAGGGCTCACGCTCGTAGTACCCAGGTAAAATCCCCGACCACTGGTTCGTAGTGACAGCCCTGTATCTTCCAGTGAACTTACACCTTATGCAAATCTGTGTCTCACAATTATTATCTTTTACACAAGATGTTCTCAGGTTTTGATTGGTTTATATTAATCTGTCAGCCAATAATTCAGCTTGCTTATGATGTGGAGAATGAAACAATGTTATGCAATATTGGATTATGTATTAACATTACAGATCTCAGCATTATGACACTCTCATTGATCTTCATTACTATAACAGTAAAAAGGGCTTAATTTGCTTATCAATAATAAGCAAATTACACCCTTTTTTCAGGAAACCCTTATTTTATTATTAATATTATAAAGCTGATCTAATGGGATGTATATTTTTAACTGCGTATCTAAATAATATATGAAAATAATTAATTTTTTTTTGTTAACTGGGGTTGAAACTTATGAGAAATACAAGCATGTAATTGTGATAACTGCAGTGATTTACTTGTCATATTAAGTTTTTTCATTTTTTGTTTTGCATATAACAGATGAAGGATTCCATCTTAAGCATGAGACAGCAATGTTGTTGTCCATGGCTAACAGAGGTCCAAACACTAATGGTTCTCAGTTTTTTATGTAAGTATTTGATCTTTTAAGAGATGGAAACCACCCTATAATTTGAAACCAAGTATAAAATTCAACTGCTCCTGATCACTCAAAGATTGGATAAATGTAGTGCTATCCAATGTATAAATTAATAATCGCTATGGAGTGGTTAGCGTGTCATGAAATCCAATTGCCTTGCCCTCTTGATAGTAATTTACCTGATGAATAGCATATACCCACCTTCTGAGCAACTGGGCACTGTTAACTTAATTACACTGGCAAATATAGTTCAGTTCTTTTTTAATTTCCTGCTGTTGTCTAATTTTCTCCTCCTTTAATTCTCAATTCCTTGCTTTTCTCAAGGCCCCAGGTTCAAGTTTAAAAGAGGGTTTATGTACTTCAATGTATCAACTTGATAATATTAATCTCTATCCAGTCGTTGATCCAGTTGTTTTCTCTAATTAATACTTATCCACTGGATATTAATTTATCTGCTAAATAGCAACCTGATCCAAGGAGTGAACAACTTGGGCCAGATTTCAGTTCTTCCGAGGTAAAATGGCATCTCTGTGATACAATAACAATATTGTAGTGTGAATAAAGACAAAGTTTTAATGTTTTAAGTTTTTATAGTGTGTTTATTTTGCTTTTCACAGAACAACTCAGCCTGCCCCACATCTTGATGGGTAAGTTTTCTTTTAACTTGATTCAGCTGTTCTTACTGACAGAAAGGAAATTTCTGTTAGCATTATGATGTTATTGCTACAGACAAGGCAGTGTTTCACATGGTTTCATTTTTTCAATTTCAATACACAAATATAAAAAAAGGGCATCAAATTTTTATTTCTCAAACATCTGAATTTTTAAAAGATATCAAGATAAATGTAACAAACAAAATGCATATTAACATTATTCCACAACAGAATAAAAATTACCAGTAAAACCAGTTCATAATTAAATTTTGTTGTCGATACACCTAGGCTCTACAGTAGAAACAGTTGTTGTTATTAAATCTTAATCGTTTTTATATGATTTGAATTTTCTATGGGTATTAAATTAAAATTTTTTCCGTGTTTTCGTTTTGTGAGGATATTAATTCCCGAAACAAATTTTGTGAAATAAAAAAAAATGTGAAATTAGGTAATGGCATTGTACATGACTTGTACACATAATGCATTTTTGTTTGTTGCCACTCAAAAGCAAGTCACAGATCAATGATTACCCACACTTCAACAATGTTGCTCTTGCTTATATTGTGGTATATTTATTTTATTTGTAGGATTCATGTGATATTTGGCCAAGTATTGCAAGGTCAGGAAATAGTATCAGAGATAGAGATTCAAAGAGTTGATGACAAGAGTAGGCCCCTAGTGGATGTAAAGATTATCAACTGTGGTGAACTTATTCCAAAAGCAAAGGCTAAAGGTACACGATATGTTTCCATTGACTAAATTTATGTACAGAACTGTGCTCTAACAGCAGTGCTGCCTGCTGACCCCTGGCATCATACTTTTGCTCTTGGGTGATGTCTTACTGTTATTTGTTAACTTTCAACTGCAGAGAAGAAAGCTGAAAAGAAAAGAAGGAAATCTAAGCGATATTCTGACAGCAGCTCCTCAGATACTGACTCTTCATCCAGTTCTGGATCAGAATCAGACAGTGATCAGTCATCAATTGATGAGCGGGAGAAAAAGAAACGCATAAAAAAGAAAAGGAGAAAAAAGATGAGTGAATCTGTAAAACTCAAGGACAAGAAGAAAGCAAAGAAGAAAAAGAAAGAGATAAAAGACAGGTAAGTGGCTGTAACTACACCACAAATACATCAATACACAAACATTTAACAAATACATACAAAAAATGCAAATCTGGTAAAAATGAATACTGTGAATAAAATAATTAATGACTTAATAAAAAAATGCATAGACATATAATTTCAAAAATTAACATTGTTCGCAAAAAGTACAGCATTCAATAATTCATTCATTACACTCAAATGACAACATGTACTTGTAGATAGATTTGGTTGAGTAGCAAAAAGGACTGATAGAGCCACTGTACCGAGTGCAGAGCATAACCGTGGCAATCAACATGTTGAATTCCAAACAAGTTGAGGAGTAAGGGCAGGTCAAAGAGGTTAGGGAGAAAGTAGCCTGTGTAGCAAGCGTTTTTGTGTGGTTTCGGAGCAAAGAAAGATGGAGGAATGACATGGAACAGGATTTTTGGTTTTGGCCGCACCAAAAATAGAACAAGAGCAAACTCTTGCTACGCAGGCTAGGGAGAAAGAAGACAAAACAATATATTATTTTTTCTCCCCTCCCCTTTCTTACAACCTTTTTTTTACCCCATGACTAGTCCAAGAGTTGCTATTTCTATTCTCCCCTGTCTTTCTCAGTGGTCAAAGATGGCAGCCATGGCAATGCAGACAAGCATTTTTTGCCCACCTTAAAAATTTGTCTGCATTGCTGGCTTCCCTGAGAGTATTTACACATACCTCGCACTAACCCAGGGTTATCTTAACCCAGCTTTGAACAAACCTGGCCAAGTAAGTGATAAGCAAAGGAATCTGTGGCTACATTTGAGGTCCCATATTACATAATAATGTTGCTTTTACGCCCCCTTCCCTCTTAGTGAAATATTGACACTAATATCAGCAATAAATTTGAATTCCAGTCCAGGAGATGCTAAACCAAAGAGTCCTGAACCTTTTAGTTCAGTGGCTGCGGATGAGATCCCAGATGTTCCCAATAATTCTTTTCTATTGAGAAGAAGCCGCACCCCCTCCCCTGTCAGGGAAAAGAGGCTTCCGCAGGCAAAAAATAGGTATGTTTCCTCTGAGGTACACCTCACCTTAATCATTACTACGAGAGCTGGACTCATTCCCTTTTCGGTGCATAATTATCATGAATTAGGAGTTTGTGAGCATTTTAGTCCGTACTAAATTTGCAATGATAAATTTTGCCCAAGGCAAAGCTGTTTCTTTGTTCAAAGCTGTGAGGCATATACTAATAGAATTAATTGTGACATACAAAAGTACTTTGGAATGGCAAGACAACTAGATTTCATCCACAGACTCAAAAATTAAAACTACATAGTACCATGTGATACCACTGCTCAATTGATTCTGATGGCAAATGGTTCAGAAAAAGTTGATCAGATGTTGAGAGATAGATGTCAGTAGTATCTTAAAGTTGTTTATATTATTTTCTGTTTGTATGACCACAGGAAAAGTAAGTCTCCTCCAGGGTATAAAGCTCTGCCTCAAAGTAATTCACAGGAAAGAACTAGGGTATGTACACCTGCTTAAATGATATTGTTTGGGAGATCAGTAGACCTTATTTCATTGTATCCACCATCTTCGCATGCACTTCAGGACTGATAAATCACGTGACATTGCATTTATCCCATCAACCCTTGAACGCGTGCGAAGATGGTGGTTGTTGTGAATAAGGTCTATACCTTCAATAGAAAATATCCACAATTATTAATAAAACAATTACATCCGAGTCTTTTGGTTCTTAAAATGAAGCTTCGATTCTGCGGGTAACTATTTTTCTTTCTTTTAACACAATTACAAAACTTTTTACCCTCTATCATCTATCTCTGTCTGTTTTTCTTATCGGCAGGTTTCCAGGTCGGGAAGGATTCTACGAGGACGAGGAAATATGGTGAGGAAATTCCCCGGGTATTAGTTTAAACTTCCTCACGAGAAAAACAATACACCAGTAGAAAAGGAAATCACCAACTAATGAATCATTTAGGAACAAAACAAGGCAAAACACATCTCTGAAAACCCACTTACAGTGTACCCCCCTTCCCCCTTCCGCCCCTCTAAGCAAAGAGCCTGGCCCGAGGCTACTCCATCGGTTTGAAACAGAACTTAATCACGTGATTTTTATTTTTCAGCGGTATCGCACACCCCCGCCTTCTTCTCCGGATGAAATGCGGAACATTTCGCGCCGTTTTCCCCCACCTTTGGTGACTCGGTCAAGGTCTCCACGCAGGCGTACAAGGTCTCCTATGCGTCGTGCACGATCACCATTTAGACAGTCGAGGTCTTCTCGAGAACGCTCTAGATCTCCCCGTCGACGCTCGAATTCTCCTCGAAGACCCCCGATGTCTTCTCGAAGACGCTCGAAGTCTCCACGAAAACAATTAAATTCCTCACAGAGACGCTCGCTGTCACCTCCAAGACCCCCGATGTATTCTCGACGACGGTCGAGGTCCCCACGAAAACACTCAAATTCCCCACAGAGATGCTCGCCGTCTCCACGGAGACACTCGGGGTCTCCGCGACAACGCTCGAGGTCTCCACGAAGACATTCGAAGTCCCCACGATCACAGTTACTTCAGAGAACAGATAGCAAACAGCATATGAAAGACCGTGAATCAGCGGAAAGAGTAATGAAACAGAGCTACTCGGTAAGAGATGGTAAAAGCAGTGATAAATTTGCAACAGTTGAAACACGAGGTGAAAGGAACTCAAATGATGAAAAAGCTAACGAATGTTCACCTGCAACTGAAGAGCGCTTTCCAGAAAGGCGACGTGAAGAAGAGGAAAAGACCTTTGCAAATGAAGGCTATGCAAGGTCAACGTTTGCTTCAGTCAATGAAACTGGCAGACACAGGAGAGGAGAAAAAACTAGCAGTAACAGCGACAGTGAGGAATTTGAACAAGAAAGTCGAGACATTTTGTACAGATTGGAAAAAGAAAGCCATCTTGCGCGTAAAGAAGACATTAGGGACATACGGAAACCAATTTCTTACTCGAACGGTGATGAACAGACATGGAGAAGCTTAGCTCGTGATTATGAGTTTGAAGAAGGTCATGGAACTTTGGACGCACAAAGTTATGCACCCATTCCATTAAGCAAAGAACGTGAAAATAACCGAGAACGTCTACAATCTCACGGTAAAAATAACGATGAACAGATTTCTCCAAACGAAGAAAGCGCAGGCAGTGAACAAGAGGACAAACGAGCTTTCCTTCAGGGTGAAGGAAGGTTTAAACATCAGGGTATCTCAGAACGTAAAACTGGTCGTCGACAGCGCAGTAGGAGTTTTGATAGACGCAGAAGCAGCTCTCAGGAGAGTGACCGGAACCGGAAGTCGCGTCATCACCATCGTCGTCATCATCATCGTCATCATCATCATCGACACCATCATAAAAGAGACGCGAGGCAATCGGAAAGAAACATTGTCGTGACCGAGAAAGATCAGGACAGTTCAAGTGACTGACTTAACTGCTTGTAAACTTCTCAAAGATCGGTGAGATGGTGAACGTAAACAGCACTTCAATTTTCAATGTACAATATTTTGTACGTTTCTCTGTAGAAACAGTCGAAAACGACACTGAAACGTGCAAAAGGAAGTTATGTCCTGAGACAAATAAGAAACGAACTCACATCCGTTCAAACTTTTTCCAAGTTTTCCGAAGCTTTAATTCAAACCCCTGTCTAAAGAGAGAAGAACAGGCATTTATTCATGACTTATCCTTTAACGACATATTTATTGTCTTTCATACTTGCATCAATTTTCCCTTTTGGTGGCTACTTATCGTAAACTGCCGCTTCTACATCTTGGTAAGGGGTTTTAGGAGGGTTTATAAACGGAGGGGCTTACATCCGAGGGAGCTTATCACAGGAATAGAAAACGCTTCGAAGCAATCTACAGAAGTACGAGTCAAAATAATTTTGCATTTACTGGCTTTTAACTAAGCGTCAAAAGGTCATAATAAATCGAAATTCATTTCAATACATTTGGGGGGTGGGGATTATAATCGGATGTATTTTTTTGTTGACGGGTTGATGGGTCTATAGTTGGTGGGGGGGCTTTATAAGCGGCTTGTTGCAGTATATCCAGGATCGAATCCTAATGTGATGCACTATCCTTATGATAGCCATCACAAAGTGTCCTAATGAACAGAACATCATCAAAATACTTGTAATTTGATCAAATATGAAGTAGTGTAAAAATGAGAAAGAACCCAGTCAAGTATGAAGTATTTTAATACAATGTGCGTTTAATCTTAGATATATTAACTAACTCTTAGAGCTGATTTTGTGTTGTTACACCGCAGGGAGCTTGGACTTCTTTGAAGTCCTTTAATACACATGTACAGGCTCTTGATATGTGTTATTGACCAAGCGTGAGATCAAGAAGGCTGGATATTGATCAAGTTCTTGTTTCGCATTCACGGATCAAAAAAGACGATAATAACAACGCAAAAAAGAACGAGGAGGCCAATATCTAGCCATCTTGCCCGAACAAGCTGGGACAATAAGGGATTTATTTCATGGCCAAAAAGATATCATTTTCTTGCTGGACCAAGGCGGAAAATGTCGAAAGGCAAGATGGGCACATCTTTCAGGCTCAGTCGAGTAGCCAATCAGTACACAGGTTTCGCGTCATATTGCCGGCTCGCGGATTCAGCCATGCTAATAATCCTTAAAATAGCCTGGGTGCCCTGTTGCTGGGGGTGCATCGTTTGCCTGTTTCTGTTAAAGCATCTCCAGATTTTTATTTGCGTGATCAACTTTTCAACACGCAGTATAAAACGCTGTCGGAAAGCGTCAAAAGTCTTTCATGTTTTAACGCCTCCGGGGAATTTTATTAACCTGTGGTTAACTGTGTTAAAATCTTTAAGGAATGGTAAGCAAGCAATATTCCGAAACCGCGTTATTTTGATTGTGACCTAAATCATAGAAATCCTTTGACCCATAAAAGGGAGTCGCCCGTGTCTGTTTATATCAACACGCTATAAAGCCAAAAAATATAATATCATCATTTTCTGGCTAAAATATTTCGAAACTGCGGTAGCCCCCAAAATTCCCGCGCTTTCTGGTGAAGACAACTCAGTTTAACTCTGAGAAACTGGCCCCAGTTGGTTATCTACGTCACCGGTTAAATCGTTATCCAACGGATATCAAGTATTAGGGACACCACTGAATTGTATGCACTATCCTTTTGATAGAAATTTGTCCAGTGCATAGCGTTATCCACCTTTGGAACGACTGGGGCCTGGAGTTAAAACACAAAGGCGGCAAATTCGTGTTCCATAAAAAAATAGACGTTTTAATGTCAACAGTCTTTGATGCAACAATGCTAAAAGGAGGAAGCCAAGAAAAAAGGGATCGGAGAGAGGAATGCAAGATGGAGGAGGCGGGAGCGGTCCGGACCCCTTGTTTCCCCCCAAAATGGAGTGTAATTAAATAAGCAGCAAAATTAAGTTTTACGAAGGCGTCAAATGTCAACAGTACATGTTTGATGGTGTAAAAAAATCGGGAAAAGGGGCTACTCATTATAAGATTTACACGGTTTTATATACCATTTTCACTGAAAAGGCACCTCTTTCGTATACCTTCCATTGAAAATACTACCCGGCCTTTACACGGCCTACCTAATAAGGATGAATCGCTAAAAGTGTTTATGTCATTTTATTAGAGTAACGTTTAATAAATAAAAATGATATAGCAAATATATTTTAATACTTTCAAAAAATTTTTTTTGGACCCTTTTATTCACTTCAACAGTGATTTCCCTGTCTTTGATAAACGTTAATGAAAGCCTCAAAAATCTGGGCACCCCTTTTCGGGCAGAACCTGTGCGGGTATAAGCGATTGTAGGAAGCCCCTAATCCCCCCTCCCCGGGTGTCAAGCGTCGTTGAAAAGCCAGCTGTTCTCTTAAATTAAATTTGACTTCATAAACTAGTCTCACGCTTGCTACTAATTCTAAAACTAAATGTGGGACATTTTTCTAGCTTTGCTTGATGGAGACCTGAATGCAGAAGAAAACAGTACTGCACAAGTTTAAATTTGATTTCAAGTTGATTGTCCAGTGAAGTGACTGTAGTTGTTCTGCACGGGTGGTCGTCCTGATGGTCGTATAGTTTAGGAACGTTTTGTTGCAATACAGTAAAAACCCGCGATTAAGAACCCGCATTTTTTCAAGTTAGCCTAAACAAGTTCTTACAGAAATGGTAATTAGCACAAATTTAGGCCATTTAGGTTCTTATCTTCTAAAGAAAAAATAGATTACAGCTAAGAGTATTTAGTGGTATTCAGCTTATTCTCTAATAAAATCTGCATAGGTATTCAGCTCGGATTCCCCAATAAAATCTGCATACCATTACATTCAGCTGTACATTGCAGTTGGACGGGTAATTCTTCAAAGAGGGTCCTGATTGCTGGCTTATCGCATTTGCTCATTCTTACTGCGTTTCTTCTTAGAGATTTTAGAAAATAAGAACCTGTTTCAAATTTTAGGCTTAACTGGTTCTTGTATAGAAGGGGCCTAACTGGTAAATTTTGGCCTAAAAGGTTCTTAAAAACAAGGTTCCTAAGCCGCAAATTTCTACTGTATCTCACTACACTTTCCGTGAAAATTTTCACATTATGCTTGAAAACTAAATTCCTAACAGCATCTTTTTACCACTATACGATGGAGACCGAAACAGGAACACCTGACTGAAAACTAATAAATGGCTTTGTTTTAGGAGCGGATGTTATTTCCACGGTTGGTCGATAATTTTTCAGTAATTTTAAGACTAAAGAATGACTTGATTGATCGAGGTCAGTGACTATTCAATTCCTTTGCAATGATTTAATCACGTCCCCGTCGATATGATCAAGTTTTTATTTTTCGTACATTTATATCAAGTTATTTTTTTTTTACCCAAAACAAGCAAACAAGTGTTGCACTGTAGGACACAGGACGCGGAATTTACTAGAAACTCAAAAGTTTTCGACAGAGAAATTATGATTACATTAGTAATTCACTTGAGGTACAGTCATTAAAGTGTAGCGAGGATTGTTAACTGCTATCTCACTTGGGGATTAAAATCAACATTTATTAATATAACTGGCGCTAGATATCGAAGAAGCCATAAAGGAGAATGAAAATTAAGGATATGATGATCTGTGCCTGTTAAGTCTTCCGCTTTTTATCAACTCAGTTAGCTTACATATTAAGAGTCTCTTAAATTAATTGTTTGTTTCTTCCATTCTGAATAAATGTTATCTTTGTCATTAGTGAGTCAGCGAAAACACAATGGCCAACGCGGAATAAAAACAAAATTCCAAGAATATTTTTGTCTGGAAACTCCATAAAAGAAAAAAGTGGACAGCTAACAGTCAGTGAAGTTCAGCTTAGTTCTTCGTCACCATTTAAACGCGCAGTCTATTCGCTATTAGTCCAGTATCCTTCGATACAGAGCAGGTAAGGACGAAAACTCTATCGAAAAGACTTTTTGCTTATAAAAATGTATATCTCATAGTCTATGATCTGACTGAGTCTTAGCAAACTTTAAAGAGTTACTACTGACTGAATTTATTCATATTGGATTGAAGTTTACTTTCCAACTTGAGTAATGGATAATGTTGGGGGAAGTTCTCTTAGCTATATCAATCATTAATAATCTGATATCGCTTAACTTGTGAAATAGGTAGCAGACACTTCTTCACAGTATTACACTCTAATTTCATTACTTTCTTTTGGTATGTTGTAAACTATTGAGCACTAATTGTTACGAGATACTGCTCTACGGGTTACATAAAATCACTTGATCAAACTATCTCGATAACTGTCAGCAACCACAATTAATAAGTTTCTTTTTTCCGATAATTTCTCTTACGTGCCCGAAGTCTGATAACATTGATTTAACCCGGCTTTAAGCTGGGTCTTCAAGCCACCCTCCTTTTACTGAAGCACAAAGTTATGAAGCAAAAGCAAAATTTATGCCTTTCGGGAGCGACTACACAGGAAATAGGGCCAAGTATGAAGTCATTAGGCTGCGGATACAATTGAAAACGATGAAGGGACTTATTTTTGGTGGCCGTCAGCGGTCTTTTGTTGTGGCTCGTTTTACTCGGCAGTGAAGGACTTGTTTGTTGTTTGTATACTGCGAAGAAACAACTGAGCCAAACGAACCGCTCGATGTCTGATAAAGTGTGCAAGTGACCCTGCATTCTATCAGTGAATTCCAGTTAAGCCAAAGTTCGAATTCGCAAGCATAGAAGTAAAGCTAAGAAAGATGACAGATTTTTACATGATTACAAGGAATAAAGCGTTTAACAGTACCCTGGCTCCAGAGGTCCGTTCTCAAAATATCCTGCGGATGAAATAAACCGAGCTTACGGTTTGATAAGGCTGCCGAAACGTTACTTTTTTCTCCTCGGCGCTTCGCGCCTCTTTAACGCGGCTTCGCCGCTAACCATAAGTATCGATAAGAAAAAAATATCCTCTGGAACACAGGGTAGTTTAACAGTAGTTCTTTCAATTTAACGAAAACAGTATCGAAACTGAGTTGAGAACCAATGTGGGCTCAAAATAACAGATAAAATATTTCTGAGTCGAAGCTTATCGGTTTATTCATTGAAAGCACCGAGTTGTATATTATCTTACAGTGTACTCACGGTACAACTGACTGGAAAGGAAAGGTCTCAGTGAAAGAGTTGAGGGTGGTCTTAACGTAACGGTAATTAAGGAGCGATGACCGGATATCGAAATGATTCTAATTTAGCAGGCAATTGAAATTCGTTCCTTACATCGCTCGCTTTTCAGTTTGGAGAGAGACTAAGTTTTGAAACAGAATAATGTTGAAATGCTAAGACTGAAAACGACTATCCTTATTTAGTTTTTAATTATTATTATATAATCAAGAAAATGATAAATATAGCCATTACAGCAACATATTACATCTTTTGTTATAGAAATAGGAACTGGGATAGCCCAGACTTAATGTAATTTTGATTTCTTTTTCTTTCTTTTTTAATAATCCAATCTCAAGCAGCATAGTTGCCTATACGTAGCGAGATTTACAATTGTACATTCAAAAACATAAATAAAGTTTCCATTAATAACGTACCTCGCTCACGAGGAGCTGAAGGAGCAAAGGTTGAGTTTTCAAAGGATCTGCAGAATAATAGTTAGTTTTATACCAACTCATGCCATTTAAACTCAGCAAGTTAGGAGTATAAACCACAAACCGAACATTAACAGGCATTGTCATGTAGTTTAATAAACTTTGTCGATGTTATGTCACTGAGTCGCTTCATATTTGCATGATAATTCTGAAACTGACCTAGAACGCACCAACAGGTGCATATAATGTTACGTAAAATCAGTGAATAGCTCATTCTCGTGATTTCCAAATCAGAACTCGGGGAAAAATATCTTAATTTCCTTTAATATTGCCAAGAAATAAACAACAAATAAACGAATAAGCCCTGAAATATTAGTCAAGATATAAGTATCAAGCGTTCGTTGTTGTAGGAGACCGTACTTTTTTTAATGATTAAATTGATCTCACGCTTCGGCGTCTTTCTGAAACCAAACGTGGGACAAAAAGTTTTTTCTAGCTTTGCTTTTTAAACATCTGAGAGCAGAATAAAAAAGTACTGCCAAGCTGAAATGTGATTTCAAGTTTTTTCCTCAAAACACACCAGATTGATTTTTAGTTTAGATACCAGTGAACAATTATCTGTAGTTAAAGAACACAGTTCATGAACAAGCCGTGAACGGTAGACCTTTTATTAAATTTCTTTTCTAAAGCACTGGACAATCATTTTCTCCTCGTTTTTACAAAGTTCTCATTTCAGAATTTTTCTTGGAATTTATCCTGTCTAAGTTGTTACTGACAACTTAACCTCGCATGCATTTCTTTGTCTACAGCCAGCGGTTGAACTGAACGGTTAAGGAGATACCAGTGCAGACTAAAAGTTTCATTGACGGGAGTAATCAACATGTCTTCACTAATAACAGCTGTATTTAAAGCCACTATCGGCCTGTTGGTGAATAAAGGAAGAGATAAACTGGCAGAAAGGTTGAATGAGGGTGATGTTACAGATCAGAAATTCCGTGGCCTGATTGTCCGTGAAATCGATGAAATAAAATCGAAGTTGGATGGTTTAGCAAGAAAGGATTTGTTAGCGAGTATCAGCCTTTTTAAAGAAGGAATCGAGTTGTTGTATGAAGTGTTTGAAAGTGCCAGACCCAGTAGCGAGCATCGCGCGGTAGAAGCAGCTGCAACAGCTTGTGTTGAGCCATTCGATATTGCTAAAGAAATGAGGAAATTACAGCTTACTGCCTTGGATGAGTCGGCCACGAGGAAGCTTAGCACAGCGAAGGAGACATTTGGTGAAGCTCGATTGGAAGCAATAAAAGCTTTTAGTAATGAAGCTTTGGAATTACCTGATCGCCTGTTAGCTATGCAATATCGACTGATGGCTACGATACTGAGGGCAATTGACAATCCTACCGACGCATTAGCGGCTTGTAGAGTCTGCCTTCACGACTTACACCAAGTGCCAGCTGTTAAAGAATATTTCAAAGTTGAGTTGGAGGAAGGATTGAGTTTGAGGGCTCCATTTAAAAAAAAAGAAAGAAGGCAAATAATTTTTTCTGTCTGTCACGCTAATCGTGTGATCTTTGATGTAATGAACATGCTCGGTAGTGGAAAAATGTGGACGTTACCTGATGTTGAAACTGGGAAAGAGAAAGTTGATCCACTCCGTCACGAAAGAGTTGTTAAAGCACTGACAAAACAAGGTAACGAGCGCTGCTGTTTGCTATGGTCATTTGGTCAGGAGGGTGAAGAGAAGCACAAGCTGGAGTGTCCGTTTGGTATCGCTACAAACCATAGAGGCCAATTCCTGATAGCAGACAATGGGGATAAAACCGTGAAGGTGTTTGATAGCAACGGAAAGTTTGACTTTAGGTTTAATCCTCAAACTGATGACGCCGATACAAAGTTAGTTATTTTGGATGTCGCCACTGCAGGCGAGGACGGCAGGATTTATCTTCCGGTCGGACTGAAGAAGCCTGGGGCTGAGGAATGGGAGAGTGAAGTGCAGGTTTTTAACAAGACTGGTGACCTACAGCACAAGTTTCCTGTGAGGAGACGGGGCTGGGACGACAAACTAACAGTGACCAGCGGCAAACAACGCGGCAAAATTCTGCTGTTGGCACGTGACGATGTTGATATTCATGAGGCGAGTGGCGAGTTCGTTTGTAGCTTTGGTGGAGGAGTGTTCAAGGATGCAAGAGATATCACTGCTACTTGTGATGGTCGCGTCATGATCCTGGACCTAGGCGATGACAGTTTGTACATATTTGATGTGGAGGGACACCAGCTTGGCAAATTTAATATCAAACATGAGAGAGATGTCTATGATCGCATTGCATGTCACCCGGCAAGTGAACATTTTGTCCTTGCTGGTAATGAACGAGAGACAGGCCGCCTGACGCTGGCTATATACACTGTTAATGGCGAATTTGTTCGCAGAATTCAGCTGGATGAAGTAGTACTTTCAGTACGTGGAATAACAGTGACCGTGGAGGGTCACATTGCTGTGGCTTTACAGGCTATTAAAGACGAAGATACTCTCCAAGTAAAGGTAACTGCTGTGGCTTACTACGGAAAGGTAATTGTTGTTTAAAACTAAAAAATTCGAAGACACAAGTCAACAGTTCTTATTTTACTTTCATGAATAAATGTCATCAAGGCAGATGTTTAAATTTAATGCTGCAGTTGACTGGAATCACTGGACATGACTGCATTAAGCCACATACACTGGCTTAAGTTCACTGATGTTTGTAGTAAATCTTGTGTTATCGCTCTAACTAAGAAACCAAAACAGGTAAAATCAATGCGATACATGTACAGTAAACACTCGCTAATAAGAACCTAACTTACATTTTTTTTTTGAGGTCTGGCAAAAAAGGTTCATTTATTTTGGGGTACGTTACAGAGTAATTAAGGCTAAGTACAACTGTAGGTTCTTAATTAGGTTTTTAATTTCTGTGAAGGAGATGAACGTAACAGGGTGTCCCAAAAGTTTGTTCGTCTAATTTCATGCTCAGTATTAACTATTGATCAAAACTTTATTTTTACATGAAATTTCTAAAAGATGTTTATTGCTCTATCAAGTACATGATTGTATTCAGAAGTTCAGTAAGCTGCAGGTCCCCTTTTTTTTCTTATCACATTCTGTAGCCATTGCACATGGCATAGAGTGGGATAAGTCATCATAGCGTCTAGAGCCCCATATGAGCCACTTTTAGCTTTTTCATCACCTGGTACACAGGAGCCACTTTGACCCCCAAACAATATCATTTTTTTAGATTAGGCAGCCAAAAAAATATTTTAAGCATTCATGTAAACAAAATATAATCATCCCGGCCTCTCTCTGCAGTAAGGTTTTTTTACTTCTTTGCCAAGGAGACTAGCTGAACGTTGCTTGGTGGACTGAGCAAGGTTTTTTTTTTTTGCCATCTCACAGGCCTCCAACCGTCTTTTTCCAGGAAACTGCCCCAGACTTAGCTTGCTAACTGTTTTGAGAGCCGCCTTGTTGAGTTTCCTTTTCTTTTTGCCCAGCTATTTTAGAACTATTTTAGCTGCTTTATTCAGGACTTTATGTTCTCCAGCAGGTTCTTAAACCACAGTTTCTTATTAGTGAGTGGGTGTTTACTGTAAGTACAGTAACATTCTTTTGTTTCTTTAACAATTGGTGGTATAATAATATTTTTGTTTGTGCAGAATGGAAAATAATACAATCCAGATTCAGTTGGTTTACAAAAACATCCTCATCATTTACCAGCTTCTCTATAACTCTTTTTGTCAAAGATTCAATTTTTTAGGTTTGAAATGCTCTACATTGTAACTCAATCGCATGCCACATCAAAATACACCTTTGAAATCTTCTTCAGGAAAAATATTTTATGATGCTCTCTAATTAAAATATTAAGCTTGACTCCGGCTTTTAATGTTAGTATACAGCTGTAGGTGAAACTCTGCAGCAATCACCTTAAAGATGGAGATCTCTAAGTGTTTATTATGGGGAGATAGGCATATAAAGCCTTGTTTCCATATGATCATCCCGATCATCCCAGTCGTTTAAAAAAGTTTTGAGATGATCCAGACAACTGGGACGATAGGTGGTTTCCATGTGATCGTACGGGTGCCTCAACGACAAGAGACATGGGGTGTCATCAGCGATGTCTCTGAGTCAGACAATAGAATTTTTGTGTGGGTTTCACAAACAAGCCAAACATACATGTAATGATGGATTTTAAATGGTGAGCAAATCTCGAGCTATGCTATCTTCTTTTTCTCTCTATTTTGTGGTGTCAACAAACTAGAAGTCAGTTCCACAAAGATATTGTATCACGTATAGAACTTGATGAAACAGACTTTCTCTTTAATTCAAATAGCACCCATACGTGATGTGAACATTTTTAATTATTTTTGATTTCAGCGGCATCCAGGCCGAATATATTCTGAATTAATGGAATGATAGTGATGATTTCTGGGATAGCCTTTGATCGTCCTGATAGTCTCAGTCATCTGAGAGCATTTCCAGATCACTTCAAAATTTACACGATGCTCCCAATCGTCCGCATAGAACTCAACTCTATTCAAGCGATCGATAGAGGTCCAGTCTCACTCATCCAGGTCATTTGCGATCGTCTGGGTAGCGTTTTCATATCATTGTCCCGATCGTCTGAACATTATTTGAGGCATCTGGGACAATCACAGCACAGCCAAAATGTGTCAATGACAGTGTTTTCATGGACAGACATAATCAGGGAAAAGCTATAATATAAATAGTTATATATATGATTACAAAATGAAATGTGATTTTTCTTGACCAGGGGAAAATCAGGAAAGTTTGCAAGTGGTCAGGAAAAGGCATAGGTGTTGTGAAGGTCTGTGAAAAGTCAGCCGCAAAGTTTATTTTCTAGTAAAAAGTTTTCAGAAAACGCAGTGAAAATCATTTTAAAAAAGTCGAAAACGAAGAGTAGAGTAATATTGATTTTTTTTTTTGGGGGGGGGGGAATTTTTTTAGAAGTTTCTGCTGCTGAGTTAATAACTCTATTGAACATAATTATGAATCTGAACAAGCAAACAAAACCTCAGGAGAAAAAGATGTTTAGGGAGCAAAACAAAGCAAATAAGGTGTTGACTGAGAGTTTATACTTCAAGTTGTTTTTGCATATTAACTTGAAAAGAAGATATGACATCATTTCCTATAACAAAATGCTGCAAAATTAATGTTATGGCCTCGTGCCCAAAACTTAATCAGCTAACAAGGTCATTATTCAACCACTGCTAGGATTTTGTCGTATGATAAACATGTGGAAAAAATGAAAAATATTAATGTAAACATGCCTATTAGTCTGTTATTCATTTAATAAAGTTATAAGCAATAGATGTTTATTATCAACTGTATACATGTAGAAAAATGCAAAACTTTGCCTTTGATGACATTCTTCACAAAAAATCTGCACTGTTCATTTACTGTTGTGTCTTCGAGTTTATTAGTTTTAATCAACAATTTATAATGAAAGGGTGTGTGGAAAAAAATTCGTAACTTTTTTTTAGATTTTTACAAAAATGGAGGCCGGTATTTTTAGGTTTTCATGCCTGTGATTTGACAGTCTGCAATTTTTATTAACATTTATTATATAGACACGAGTGTTTTACTGGAAAATATACCACTCGTAAAATTCATAAAAACTACATCCGGGACCCGAGTGGTTTATTTTCCATAATCTCACACGTGAGTTTATCGATGACGTAATGTCGGTAATTTCCCTCTATTATTTTATCAATGTCTTTTTGTCTATATAATAAAAAGAACATTACACGGCGGCTTGAAGATATGAATTTTATTTTCTCGTGGCAAAAACAATATTTTACGAACGAGCGCATTATCCTCGCGCCACCGTGTAATATCCTCTATATAACACTAAAGAATCTACCCAATTTGTTTTGGGACACGAATTTTCAATATCGAGATTTACATAATCAAGAAGCCAAATAAGAAGGTCTAAATTCCTTGTTGAGCAAGACAACAAGAAAATGGCAGGGTGATTTTATTGAATAGCTCGATGTTAGTTTATACAAGTGCCAAACTTTCCAATTACTTTTTAGGGGCAGTGCCACTACGTACTTCAAAATCCAACAAATGCGAAAATCCACCGATTCACTATTTTCACATAGACCATAATGCACCTTGTTTGCCCCCCAAATTTTGCATAAACATTCTTTTCAATATTCAATATTTCCCTTGAGATATATGACTGTAATATCCAGGAGAAACTGAAAACAAAATGCAAAATTTTCAGGGTAAACAAGGTGCATAAATTATGGTCTATGTGAAAATGGTGAATATAGTAACCTTAATGGCCTCTCTAGGCATCATTAAAAAGAGAGTTTACGCCATAAGAAAACTTAAGTGCATGGACAAATCCTTAAAAAAGTTGGGCCGATCCGTTTTCAAGTTTGCTGGAGTTACATCAATTGGAAAATCTTTTCAAAACCATTAAAAAGATGTTGTTATTATTATAGTTCACTTGCGCTTTTCAGAATGATTCGATGTCTTTCTCATCATTCAAATGTCGTTTTGTGTAACTCTATATACGGTTCTAAACGGGCCTTATAGCAAAGTATGTGATTTCTCTGCCGGAGTATATGTGTATTTTGCACAAAACAGTCAGAGTTGGTTATTAAAACAGAGCCTTACTGATAGAATGAGGTTTAAAAAAATGTCTGGGCCCCCAAAATAGATATTAAATGATCTTTTCAGCCTAGCCTGGAAGGCTTTTTGATGCTCTTAACAACAAACAATGTTTTCTAGATATGGCCGGTAAGGATGGTAAAATAATTGAAAAATGACTTAGAATGTGCAAGTTCTGTTAAACACCACCTAACCTTTGTTTTAATAACCAGCCTTTAGTTTCAATTTCTAGATTCACAATTACCTAAAAATTTTAGAGTCTACATTGTGCCCAAAGCAAAGTGGCCTCTAAGGGAACAGGTCATAAGCTGGTTTTTGTGTCCAGATTATGCAAACTTTGGACCACAAATTATGAGTTAAAGTTGCCTTTGTTTGTTTAACAGAAAGCTACATGTACATAAATGGAGTTAATATTTCTTATCTCTTAATAAGTGTTAGCCCTTTGTGGGTTTATAAATGAAAAGCTTTGTAAATATGCCACGTTATTAATACTGCTCAAGTGTAAGTAGGTCAAGATGGCTGGAATTGTTAGGGGTTTCAATGTTTTAATGAAACAATACAAAGTTTGTGATCAACAAGTTCTTTAACCTACGTAGACTAGCTGGCGGTTTCATTTGGGGTGTCTAAGAGACATCTCTCACTTTACAAACTACAAACGAAAACAACACCCTGCACACAGCAAACAAACTGCCAGCTGCAGTGCGGGCTACAAGTTCTTGGAAACTCAGTGTTTTGTTGCAAGTTTTCCTTGGTTGAAAGTTTTTTTTCTTTCTTAAATAAAATGAACCAAGGATGAAAATGAATTTCTACATAGGCATACCGATAATTTAAGACAGAATCCACCAGGAAATTGAGTAATTTTAATTTTCAGTGGGCAAAAACAAAAAAAAACAGAATAATTTAAAGAATATTGCATTCTTTGTTTTACATTTTTCAAGGGCTGAAGATGTAATAAATCATCTGTAGTAACACCAAAGAAAATTTCTCATGGAAGTCCGAGAATTATGAATGTCAAATTTTACGAGAATTGTGATTACACATTTAAAATTCTGAAAAATTTGAGATTCATTTTCTTGGGCTCCCATTTTTGTTGTTGTCACTACAGATGATTTATTACATCTTTAGCCCTTGAAAAATGTAAGAAAGAATGCAACATGCTTTAAATTATTAAGGTACAAGATTTTTGTCCTCTGAAAATCAAAATTCCTCAATATCCTGGTGGATTCAAAATTTTTTTTCAACATTTACATTTTATCTTTATCATGACTGAACTGTAGCATTGTAATAGCATTGGTATTTTGTTAATTCCTATGTTTTATTTGCAAAATAAAATTAAATGTGTTACTGGTTCACTTTTTTATAAAATACATAGTTTTTTTGTTTTGAACTGAACACAGGGGGGAGGGGTGAGGCAGTGGTCAGAGCACTCGACTCCCATCAATTTGGCCTGGGTTCAGGTCTTGCCATGTATGCCATATATGGGTTAGGGACCGGTCATTATTTATCACCTGGGTGCAGGGTCGGAGGATTTTAGGGGGGATTACTTGTTTTTTGGGAGAACAAAAGGGGGGATCAGTTGTAACTGAGAATCCAAAAGCGAGGATCGCTGAAAACTTCGGAAGGATTCAGAGTGGGGACCACTCAAATTTGCTTGGAAAATGAAGTCGTGAAAGTCATCAAAAGTTATTAGGGGGGATCACTTCAGTGAAGTAACACTCAAAGGGGGTATCGGCTAACTTTCCTCTTGTTTTGCCTCAAATCCTCCCCCCACCCCCGGAGATAAACAATGACCTGTCCCTTAGACCTGGTTAGCAATGAACGCGCTAAATTATTGAAAATCGCGACCCGCGAGGAAGGTGTCCCATGCGCGGTGCTCTGTTTCTTTCGTGCATCACCTTTCTCGCGGGTGGTGAGGAAAATGACAGAATACTCGTAGTCAGATTGTTAAGGCTATTTTCTTTCCTGACTTTTTTACCGCAAAAAAAATAATAAAGCATTGTTATGGAACTCTGGCGTCGAGTTTTCCCTGGAAGCAAAGAAGCTAAGCGACGTATAAAATCTGTCATTTAAATTATTTTAAATGACAGATTTTTAAGGAGTGAACAGATAAGCAAGAAATCCCGCAGGAAATCCCGAGCGGGCTAGATTACTGTGAAACTCAGAAAACCGTGAACACGTGAAAAATTTCAGGTATTTAGCAGGAGAGTACTATTTGGGGACACTATTTTTACACGGGACCGCCATTTTACGTGGTCATCCGAGGCACGCGAAGGTCTAGCCCCTTACAGGTTAAAAAAGTACCTTCATATCTCAGTTATTTTAAGACCTTGAGTATTGTTGGTTTTCACATGACGTCACTAAAATTCAAACTACTGAGCTAACCCTGCGTGGCCAATCACAATAAAGTTTAGGATACGAAAGGAATCCTCAAAACCACAAACTAATTACCATTGGTGTTTGCGGTTTAGTTATCTCGCGCCTTATTGGCTAATTTCTCGCAACACAATAACATGCCATAAATATTTCTGGTGTTGAAATTGGAAAGGTCTTCCCTATAATGGGAAAGTGAGCACGATAGGGACATACCGCTTTCACGAACTTTAACTTCAAGCCGTTTCTGGACATGCCAATAAGACGGGGCATTATCAGCTCTGGGACGAGGTCACTTTTAACAGTAACCGAGACCCTCGCTGGTACTCTTGGAGGGTTAAAGAAACACTTAACAGCATCAATAGGGACAGTGGAATTGAGAATTCTCGGCTGCTACGAGGATGCCTACAGTCAGACACCGATCAGTACAACAGCACAGCGGACCGCTGAAGGAACAGTCATCTCCTCTAATACCAACAATGCTTTAGATCGAACCCTACCAACCATGTCCTGGGTGAGGTTCGTGATACACCAAATCACTAAGGATTACGGTGGTTTACTAATAGTGCCGCTCGGAAAATCGTAATTCGACTTCCGTGAAACAAATGATAAAAGAAAACCTTAAATAATATTGATCTTCAGGTAATTCACAATTTTCACCAATTGAAAAGGGTTATAATGTTATATCTGCAGTAGTTAAAGGTGAGAAATAACGAATTTTTACTGTGAAACTCACAAAACTGTGAACACAAGAAATATTTAAGGAATGTTATTGTGTTGCCAGAAGTTAGCCAATAAGGCGCGAGATAACTAAAACGCAGACAGTAATGGTAATTAGTTTGTAGTTTTGAGGTTTGCTCGCTTTGCTTGCTTTATTGTGATTGGCCAGTACACAATCAACAATCCTGTGTGCCAATAACACACATGTACTACGGCGGCAACACCAAGTAATTTGCATCAAAACCTTTATTAGGTAGTTTTCCAGGAAGATCATTTTGACAAGCAAATTTACTTGTATCGAAACAATTTTGTATCGAAACGACCGGCCACCATCATAGCATAAGATCTTGTAATCTTGTCCGTGTTTGGTAAAACGGAACCCGAGGCTCAGCCACGGAGGTAGGTAGGTAGGTAGATAGATAGATATAGGTAGTTAGTAAAATCCAACTAGTGGTCCATTATCAATGTTGAATTCTGATTGGGTGAGCTAATACTAGGCTATATGTTATAGCCCACTAGTAGCGAAAAGCGCTGGCTTTTTGGCGGCAAAAAAGGATTAAAGTCTTACTTTAACTAGCTAAAGTTGTTTTGTCTCGATATTTTTGACCAACTAGTTGGATTTTACTAAAACAATTATTCCTCTCACCCTCATGGCCTCTGAGTCAATAGCTCATGAGGCCGAAGGCCGAATGGGCTATTGACTCAGAGCCCATTCGGGCTCGAGGAATAATTGTTAAATACAATTCATTACAATTCAAATAAGAAAACAGTATAAACTATCTACATTATAATAAAAATATTAAAGAAAAAGCTGCTTTCCATGAATGCCGTGCCCTTGAGTACTTGTTTAAGAAGACATTTGAATTTCGTAAGGGACTCTGCTTGTCTCACATTACACTGGAGTTTGTTCCATAGGATGGCGCCACTATAGCTAAAGCTATTGTTGTAATAATTTGTCCGTGGTAAAGGATGCAAAGTTTATTCTCAGAGTCTCTAAGGTTATATGCCGTTTCTCGTATTGCAAACCTAGAACTTAAATATTCTGGAGCCAACCGGTGTAAAGACTTAGAAACCATCGTGGCTTTTTCAATTTCATGCTGGCGTGCTAGATTTTTCCATCCTGGGAGTTCAAACAGGTAACCAGCGTCTTCATCGTAGTCTGAAAATGTCAAAAAACGGGCTGCTCTAATTTGTAGTTTTTGAAGTTTGTTCCTTAAGGTTATCCCACAGTTTCCGGCCAAAACAGTATTGCAGTAATTGAAATGAGGGTGAATAAGAGCGTGGTAAATTAGTTGTAAGGTCGCTTGGGGGACAAGGTGCCTTTAATACTCTCTTTATGGCCCCGATGCCAGAAGATACTTTCTTTATTATCTTCTCCATATGGCTACCCCAATCGAGATTATCATCGATGGTCACTCCAAGAGATTTAGCAGTAGCGACTTGGGTAACCCGAAAATCATTAATTGCAAGTGTTGGGGAAACTGTTACAGTACTTAGCCTCTACCTTGATCCAATTAACACGAACTCGGTTTCCATGAACTCGCAAGGTGCGCTTGATGAGACGAAACTTGCTCAAAATACATTCTAATAAGGCTTTTCTACTGAGAATTTCGACTGAGAATTTATCTTGGGGTTAAGATTTCAATCTATCTAAGAATTTTAACGTCTTTGCCACAGAGGAGCCTTCATTTCTTAAATGCGGTTCACCAACGGACGATTTGAAGTTGCACATTTTCCAAGGACTAAATCCTGGCCCTCCTCGCTTTTCTGAGCAAAAGCTGTTTTCGCCGCATCTTCGTATTTCCTGGGACAAAAGTTAAAATGTCGTTTATAAGTAGGTGGAATATGATTAGCCCGTTTCTCGAAAGTTCCGGTAACTTTTCAGGCCCGAAATCAAATAATTAAATCAAAATCAAAGGAATTAAATGACGAGTCCTAGCCAACAAACCAGTCAATTTTGTTTTTACTGATAGAAAGCTACACGTCATATCAGTATGGAATATCTGCAAACATTCTTCAGACCAGTTCGCGAGGAAACCAGTGGTGGAATCACAAAATGTCAGCTATTTTCTCAGGGTAGCATCAATTAGCAGTGCAGAACTCGAGTTATTGTTCCCAATCACTTACGAATTTGTATACGCCCAGGGTTTTGTGGTCAGCGGATTCAGTGAAAGGATGAACGGCATGGTTGCAACACAAGTGACCACTACACAAGGTAAGTTTGTTTAGTCAGCCTTTGAGTAAAGTAAGAACTTCAATGAACTGATAAACTCACCCGAGTTTCACATAACACGTCACTTTCTTTTCGAGGAGAACTCTGGAGACATATTTCTCCGCTTCTATTCTGTTGTTGCATTCCGGGCATACTTCAAAAAATGGCTATAAAAAAAGCAACGTAAATAAAATTTACAGCGTCTTCACATTGGAATGTTTATTCACAATGTTACAGTCATGGGAACTCATGAACGTAGCCTTTAATACAAAAGAAATAAATGCTTTTTGATAAATACCTACGAATCTTCCAATCGCCATCTGTCCAAGACTAGCATGATTTTTATTCCGCCAGACAGTCCGTACATTCACTCTTGAACATTTAATATCTTACACAGTGGGGTTAGGGTTTCTTTTTGTGTTTTTCATTTTACTTACTCCCAGATTCCGGGGGATGTTCCAGGGATATTGCGGAGTGTTCGAGATGCCCCTTATTCCCCACAAAGGCAACTCCTCTAGAAAAGGCACTTTGCTCTCAAGGGAGCCGTTGTAGAAACGTTCGACTCTGTTACAAACCCGTTTCCGCTTCCTTTTTTCTCTTCACAAACTTGTCCTTGTTTTGACCACCGCCGTAACAAGGCGTAGACCCTAACCACCTGTACTTACGATCTGATAACGGCGACGCCAATGGAAAAGGTCGATGAAAAATTGACTTCGCATCATTTCAATTCGTCTAGTTACTTAAAAGAAGGGAAATTAGGTTGGAGCTGAAGGTAGGGGGAGTCCCATTCTCAATTTTCGCAAATTTAGTCATGTCCTATCGTAGATGTGTGGGAAAGGCAAAAAAAATTACAAAAAAGATTGATGGACGTGTAGAGCTGTTGTTCCACTCCTTCATTAACCTATTGTGTTTTAGGCCTTTCCATTCCCGTCGCCATGGTAGTTTGGTAAGGTCTCAAATTACCTGCGTAAGTGAGTCAGGATTTTAGGGTTTAAAGGATTGGCTTTGCTCGTATCTGTCCCTAGTTGAGCACATTGCTTGATTATTTTGGAAAACATTGTCAATAAACTTACCTCGTATCCAATTAGAGATTTACGAGCCTTGGAAAACTTGTCGAGTTCCAGCCAGTTGTGACTTTCAGCCAGTAAAGCCTAAAGACAAGACAATGCGGCAAATGAGCTAAACTATGAGGAAGGAGTTTGAAGGGGTAGGAAAAGGAGGAATAACTGAGGTGCGCGTGAACGCGATGTCCGCGCGAGGAGGAAGGGAAGGAAATCCTGTCTGCTATTTTTCCTCGCGCGTCCTGATTCCCTCCCCCTCCTTTCACTACTCCTTCAATTGCCTGCCACACAGGCTACAAATCAGGGGTTTTAACTAGCAAACATAAGCTGTACGTGGTACAACTACAGGCTATTTCGAAAACGGGCCGTGTGAAAACGAGAACGCGATGAATGCGCGAGGAGGAAAGGACGGAAACCCTTTCTTCTCTCCCTCCTCGCGCGCCCTTACCCCCTCCCCCTCTTTCACTCCACTTCAAATGCTTGCCACATAGACTACAAATCAGGGTGTGACCAAAGAAGCCTTACCTATACATAGTACAGGCTATTTTGAAAACAGCCCGTGTGAGAACGAGAACGCGATGGACGCGCGAGGATGAAAGTAGAGAGACCATTTGGGCCAGTTTAACCCGTGTTTAACAAAACCGCGTTCTTGGCCATTTTCAGTTTGCTCAACGTTTTTATCTAAACACCATTTTAAGTGAAAAATCTCAAGAAAGTATATAGTGTAGACTGGAAAGGCACTTATTTTCTTCAATTAACCCCTTAAGAAAAGGATCTGGAAGTCCAATGTTTTCCTAAACGACTGCGTCTAAATTTCCTCCTCCCTAACGCGCCCTAATTCCCACATTTCCCTTCCCCTTCAAATGTATTCTACTCAGGCTACAAATCAGTGGTGTGAACAAGTAAGCCTTTGTTCAACGTGGTGTAGCTAAAGGTTGTTTCAAAAAAGGTTCCCTCAGATGAGAAAGGTCTCGTTGTTTACAGTCTCTGATAAAAAAATGTTACAAACCTTTTATCCGGAATCTTGAACTCCTTTTTCAGTTGCTCAGCGGCTTTCAGGTCTCCTTGAAGTATGCACTGAAAAGTGCAAAGTAATCCTTAGAAACCAGGAACCCACACCCAATTGTATGGCAATTAAATCTGTGACAATGAAGAAACTAACGCTAAAACTACTTTTAATAGTACTTTCCACAGCGGTTTACTTTGCTTTGGTTTTAACTACTAAGTTTAGATAATAGTTTAACAATAACAATCCCAACAAAAGCTGCTGATCAGAGATCTGAGAGATTCCAGCGTATACTGTTGATTTCAACTTCTAACATTTGACAATCTTTTAGTATGGCCATTCGAATGAAAGCTTGTACTTGACAAAGATTTCCAGCGGCACTGTTTATTAAGCTGTTAAAGGTAGTATTAACATTTGACTACATTGATGACATATTAATTTTGATCATTCAAATAAGAGCTACTTTTCAGAGCTAAGTTACAATTTTGCCCTAAGTAAGGAAAAAGTGTTACTGTTGACTTAACGGGGGAGGGGCGGGGGGAGTGGTCAGTAACCTAGAAAGCTCGGTAGGTACTTTAAGTAGGGTTATTAAAGTGTATCAAGAATGCATTTAAAATAATGTATCGACATGTATACCCATGTAATGTCATGTATAACTATGTATAGCCATGTATTGCCATGTATAGCCATGTATTGCCATGTATACCCATGTATAGCCATGTATTGCCATGTATTACAATGTATAGCCATGTATTACCATGTATCACCATGTATTACCATGTATAGCCATGTATAGCCATGTATAGCCATGTATTGCCATGTATTACCATGTATTGCCATGTATTACCATGTATCACCATGTATTACCATGTATAGCCATGTATAGCCATGTATTGCCATGTATAGCCATGTATTGCCATGTATTGCCATGTATAGCCATGTATTGCCATGTATACCCATGTATAGCCATGTATTGCCATGTATTACCATGTATCACCATGTATTACCATGTATAGCCATGTATAGCCATGTATTGCCATGTATAGCCATGTATTGCCATGTATACCCATGTATAGCCATGTATACCCATGTATAGCCATGTATTGCCATGTATTACCATGTATAGCCATGTATTACCATGTATCACCATGTATAGCCATGTATAGCCATGTATTGCCATGTGTTGCCATGTATACCCATGTATAGCCATGTATACCCGTGTATAGCCATGTATTGCCATGTATTACCATGTATTGCCATGTATTACCATGTATCACCATGTATTACCATGTATAGCCATGTATAGCCATGTATTGCCATGTATAGCCATGTGTTGCCATGTATTGCCATGTATAGCCATGTATTGCCCTGTATACCCATGTATAGCCATGTATACCCATGTAAAGCCATGTATTACCATGTATTACCATGTATTGCCATGTATTACCATGTATTGCCATATATTACCATGTATAGCCATTTATAGCCATGTACTGCCATGTATAGCCATGTATTGCCATGTATTGCCATGTATTGCCATGTATACCCATGTATAGCATGCATACCCGTGTATAGCCATGTATTGCCATGTATTACCATATACTGCCATGTATTACCATGTATCACCATGTATTACCATGTATAGCCATGTATTGCCATGTATAGCCATGTATTGCCATGTATACCCATTTATAGCCATGTATATCCATGTATAGCCATGTATTGCCATGTATTACCATGTATTGCCATGTATTACCATGTATCACCATGTATTACCATGTATAGCCATGTATAGCCATGTATTGCCATGTATAGCCATGTATTGCCATGTATTGCCATGTATAGCCATGTATTGCCATGTATACCCATGTATAGCCATGTATTGCCATGTATTACCATGTATCACCATGTATTACCATGTATAGCCATGTATAGCCATGTATTGCCATGTAGAGCCATGTATTGCCATGTATACCCATGTATAGCCATGTATACCCATGTATAGCCATGTATTGCCATGTATTACCATGTATAGCCATGTATTACCATGTATCACCATGTATAGCCATGTATAGCCATGTATTGCCATGTATTGCCATGTATTGCCATGTATACCCATGTGTAGCCATGTATACCCATGTATAGCCATGTATTGCCATTTATTACCATGTATTGCCATGTATTACCATGTATCACCATGTATTACCATGTATAGCCATGTATAGCCATGTATTGCCATGTATAGCCATGTATTGCCATGTATTGCCATGTATAGCCATGTATTGCCATGTATACCCATTTATAGCCATGTATATCCATGTATAGCCATGTATTGCCATGTATTACCATGTATTGTCATGTATTACCATGTATCACCATGTATTACCATGTATAGCCATGTATAGCCATGTATTGCCATGTATAGCCATGTTTTGCCATGTATACCCATGTATAGCCATGTATTGCCATGTATACCCATGTATAGCCATGTATAGGCATGTATAGCCATGTATTGCCATGTATTACCATGTATAGCCATTTATAGCCATGTATTGCAATGTATAGCCATGTATTGCCATGTATTGCCATGTATAGCCATGTATTGCCATGTATACCCATGTATAGCCATGTATTGCCATGTATTACCATGTATCACCATGTATTACCATGTATAGCCATGTATAGCCATGTATTGCCATGTATAGCCATGTATTGCCATGTATAGCCATGTATTGCCATGTATACCCATGTATAGCCATGTATACCCATGTATAGCCATGTATTGCCATGTATTACCATGTATAGCCATGTATTACCATGTATCACCATGTATTACCATGTATAGCCATGCATAGCCATGTATAGCCATGTATTGCCATGTATTGCCATGTATACCCATGTATAGCCATGTATACCCATGTATAGCCATGTATTGCCATGTATTACCATGTATTGCCATGTATTACCATGTATCACCATGTATTACCATGTATAGCCATGTATAGCCATGTATTGCCATGTATAGCCATGTATTGCCATGTATTGCCATGTATAGCCATGTATTGCCATGTATACCCATGTATAGCCATGTATACCCATGTATAGCTATGTATTGCCATGTATTACCATGTATTGCCATGTATTACCATGTATTGCCATATATTACCATGTATAGCCATTTATAGCCATGTACTGCCATGTATAGCCATGTATTGCTATGTATTGCCATGTATTGCCATGTATACCCATGTATAGCCATGCATACCCGTGTATAGCAATGTATTGCCATGTATTACCATGTACTGCCATGTATTACCATGTATCACCATGTATTACCATGTATAGCCATGTATAGCCATGTATTGCCATGTATAGCCATGTATTGCCATGTATTGCCATGTATAGCCATGTATTGCCATGTATACCCATTTATAGCCATGTATATCCATGTATAGCCATGTATTGCCATGTATTACCATGTATTACCATGTATCACCATGTATTACCATGTATAGCCATGTATTGCCATGTATAGCCATGTATTGCCATGTATAGCCATGTATTGCCATGTATACCCATGTATAGCCATGTATTGCCATGTATACCCATGTATAGCCATGTATACGCATGTATAGCCATGTATTGCCATGTATTACCATGTATTGCCATGTATTACCATGTATAGCCATATATTACCATGTATAGCCATTTATAGCCATGTACTGCCATGTATAGCCATGTATTACCAGGTATAGCCATATATAGCCATGTATACCCATGTATAGCCATGTATACCCATGTATAGCCATGTATAGCCATGTAATGCCATGTATTGCCATGTATACCCATGTATACGTATGTATAGCTATGTATACCCATGTAATGCCATGTATTGCCATGTATACCCATGTATAGCCATGTATAGCCATGTATAGCCATGTATTTTCATGTATTGCCATGTATACCCATGTATAGCCATTTATACCCATGTATAGCCATGTATTGCCATGTATTACCATGTATTGCCATGTATTACCATGTATTGCCATATATTACCATGTATAGCCATGTAATGCCATGTATTGCCATGTATACCCATGTATAGCCATGTATTACCAGCTATAGCCATGTATTGCCATGTATACCCATGTATAGCCATGTATTGCCATGTATAGCCATGTATTGCCATGCAGTACCATGTATAGCCATGTATAGCCATGTAATGTTATGTATAGCCATGTATTACCATGTATATCCAGGTATTGCCATGTACTGCCATGTATTACCGTGTATTGCCATGTATTACCATGTATACCCATGTATTGTCATGTATACCCATATATTGCCGTGTATTACCATGTATAGCCATGTATACCCATGTATACCCATGTATAGCCATGTATTGCCATGTATAGCCATGTATAGCCATGTATACCTATGTAATGCCATGTATTGCCATGTATTACCATGTATAGCCATGTATTGCCGTGTATTACCATGTATTGCCATGTATTACCATGTATCGCCATGTATTACCATGTATCGCCATGTATTACCATGTATAGCCATGTATAGCCATGTATACCCATGTATACCCATGTAATGCCATGTATTGCCATGTATTGCCATGTATAGCCATGTATACCCATGTAATGCCATGTATTGCCATGTATTACCATGTATAGCCATATATAGCCATGTATTGCCATGTATTACCATGTATATTGCCATGTATTACCATGTATAGCCATGCATTACCATGTATACCCATGTATTGCCATGTATTACCATGTATAGCCATGAATACCCATGTAATGCGATGTATTGCCATGTATTACCATGTATAGCCATGTATAGCCATTTATTGCCATGTATTACCATGTATCGCCATGTATTACCATGTGCTGCCATGTATCGCTATGTATTACCATGTATTACTTTGTATTACCATGTTTTGCCATGTATTACTATGTATTACGATGCATTACTATGTTTTGCTATGTATAGCGATGTATTGCCATGTACTGCCATGTATGGCCGTGTACTGTCATGTACAGCCATGTACTCCCATGTATTACATGTATTGACATGTACTGCGTGTATAGCCATGTATTGCTATGTAGTGCTATTAATTACTCTGTATTGCTATGTATTGCCATGTGTGGCCATGTATTTACTATGTATGTCTTAAGTTGGATTAAAGTCTTTTTTTTGTCTGTTACATAGTTCAGGGGTAGCCCAAGAAAAGGCTTTTTTTCCGAATGAAAATATAGTTTTTTGGGGAGGGCAACGTTCTTTCAGGATTGTAAACGGATACTAGTTGACAAAGATATTCAAGTGCCATTCGTCACTTTAGAAAATACCCTCGTTGAAAGTCAGTTAAGAACTTATTGGTCCCGAAGAGCAGGGATTTCGCCCATAAGGCGAAATTCCGAGGAAGCACTCTATTAGCTCGCCCGTTTATTACGGAAAGTACTTACAGTTGTTATTTGTAGTCACTATACCAGAAAAAAAGATCGATTTCTTTTATAGATAGGGGCCGCAAGGGATAGGGGGTTAACGTTTTCTTTTGTTCGTTTTCTTTTGTACAGCTTGTGTGAAGGATTACACAGAATGGAATATAAAAGGTTGTCAATTAAGAACTCGCGGTATTCTTGTAAGGCGACTAGCTGAGTCATGAAGAGCGCTGTCATCGTAGGAAAACCGCCTTTGACATCTCTCTACATCAACCCGAAGGTGTTGCGGGAGGCTATAACGACAAACAGAGCATGCGTATTCAGTAACAGGCAATAATAGCAAAATTAAAGTTTTAACATGTGTGAGCTAACAGTTTTTTCGGGTAACAAGGGACTAGCGTTGTCAAAATCCTTGAATATTTCAATTTGGGAATCTAAAAAAATATAACACGTGAGAAAACGCGAAAATTAAAGTTTATAAACAACGAACCTTCATTGAAACACAGAAACACACCAAACGGATCGAAATCCACCAATTTAAAAACCTTGAACCATGACCTTTTGAACCCCTTGAAGTAAACTTCTGTTGTCTATGAGATCAGGTGCAGAAAGGGCACAGACTTCAGATTATTATTGGTAATGACAAAAAAGCGGATATTTTAAAATAATTTTCTAACATTTGAAATTATGTAAAAATGAAATAATCAACATGTCACTAGCGTGGAACAAAGACAACATCTGAGTCCCCAACAAGATGCATAGATATGACCTCCCATACACAAGGCTGGCGCTCTCTATCCACTTTGAACTTTTGAGAACTCATGAAGATCGAGGCCATATACTATACATTAAATATATCTTTTTTTTAGCCGATATTGGCGTTTCGAAAACATCCATTTTTCCGCACGTTGCAGAACTATCAATTCCTGTACTGACTGGAAGTGACTCGCTGAAAACATAAATAAGTGCGTGGAGAGGATGGCTGTGAGGGGAGGGTTAAGTCCACCACCAGGACCAATGAATCAAATACACTATTGTCACAGTATTGTCAAACATACCTCCATAGATTCTATTAATAAATTGATTATTCAGTTGAAAAATGAGTCCCTTAGTCGTTCCCTCTTATAGTGTTAAATTCAAATCGGCATTCGTACATGCGTACAGAACAGTGATTATTTCAAGAAAACATCCATTCAGAACCTCTTCATTTAAAAAGATTTATAACAATTTTAAAGGCATAAAATATATCTAAAAATTCAGGACAACTAAGCCGGCAAAAATTTCATGACTGACTCGCCGTAAATTCACAGTATGCAAGATTGCAAAAATAAATCTGAAATCTGAAAATAGGATTTCCTATAGTCTCAAGCTAGCAAAATGCCGTAAAATTCAGAAAAGAAGACCCTCAATTTATAAACCCATCCTATTTTTAATGGCATTACATGGTAATGCATGGCAATACATGACAATACATGGCAGTACATGAGGATACATGGCAATACATGGTAATAGATGGCGAAACATGGCAGTAATTGGCTATACATGGCAATACATGGAAAGACAAGGCAATACATGGCTATATACATGGCAGTACATGGTTATAAATGGCAATACATGGCTATACATGGCAATACATGGCAATACATGGTAATACATAGTAATACATGGCAATACATGGCAATACATGGCATTAAATAACTATGCATGTCATTACATGGCTATACATGGCAATACATGGCAATACATGGCAATACATAGTAATACATGGAATCACATGGCTGTACATGGCACTACATGGCTATACATAGTAATACATGGCAATACATGGTAATACATAGTAAAACATGACAATACATGGCTAGACATAACAGTACATGGTAATACATGGCTATACATGGGTATACATGGCTATACATGGGTATACATGGCAATACATGGCTATACATGGCAATACATGGCTATATATGGCTATACATGGTAATACATGGTGATACATGGTAATACATGGCTATACATGGCTATACATGGCAATACATGGTGATACATGGTAATACATGGCTATACATGACATTACATGGCTATACATGGCTATACATGGCTGTACATTGCTATACATGGTAATACATGGTAAACATGGCTATACATGGCTATACATAGCTATACATGGCTATACATTGCTATACATGGTAATACATGGTGATACATGGTAATACATGGCGATACATGGCTATACATGGCTATACATGGCAATACATGGTGATACATGGTAATACATGGCTATACATGACATTACATGGCTATACATGGCTATACATTGCTATACATGGTAATACATGGTGATACATGGTAATACATGGCTATACATGGCTATACATGGTAATACATGGTGATACATAATAATACATGGTAATACATGGCAATACATGGTGATACATGGTAATACATAGCTATACATGGCTATACATGGTAATACATGGCTGTACATGGTAATACATGGCTATACATGGCTATACATGGGTATACATGGCAATACATAGCTATACATGGCAAAACAAGGCTATACATGGGTATACATGGCTATACATGGGTATACATGGCAATACATGGCATTACATGGATATACATAGCTATACATAGGTATACATGGCTATACATGGGTATACATGGCAATACATGGTGATACATGGTAATACATGGCTATACATGACATTACATGGCTATACATTGCTATACATGGTAATACATGGTGATACATGGTAATACATGGCTATATATGGCTATACATGGCTATACATGGTAATACATGGTGATACATGGTAATACATGGCAATACATGGCTATTCATGGGTATACATGGCTATACATGGGTATACATGGCAATACATGGCTATACATGGCTATACATGGCTATACATGGCTATACATGGCTATACATGGTAATACATGGTGATACATGGTAAAACATGGCAATACATGGTGATACATGGCAATACATCGCTATACATGGGTATACATGGCTATATATGGGTATACATGGCTATACATGGCTATACATGGGTATACATGGCAATACATGGCAATACATGGCAATACATAGCTATACATGGGTATACATGGCTATACATAGGTATACATGGCTATACATGGGTATACATGGCAATACATGGTGATACATGGTAATACATGGCTATACATGACATTACATGGCTATACATGGCTATACATGGCTATACATTGCTATACATGGTAATATATGGTGATACATTGTAATACATGGCTATACATGGCTATACATGGCTATACATGGTTATACATGGTAATACATGTTGATACATGGTCATACATGGCAATACATGGTAATACATGGCAATACATGGCTATACATGGGTATACATGGCTATACATGGGTATACATGGCAATACATGGCTATACATGGCAATACATGGCTATACATGGCAATACATGGCTATACATGGCAATACATGGCTATACATGGGTATACATGGCAATACATGGCTATACATAGCTATACATGGGTATACATGGCAATACATGGTGATACATGGTAATACATGGCTATACATGACATTACATGGCTATACATGGCTATACATGGCTATACATTGCTATACATGGTAATACATGGTGATACATGGTAATACATGGCTATACCTGGCTATACATGGCTATACATGACATTACATGGCTATACATGGCTCTACATGGCTATACATTGCTATACATGGTAATACATGGTGATACATGGCAATACATGGCTATAAATGGCTATACATGGCTATACATGGCTATACATGGTAATACATGGTGATACATAATAATACATGGTAATACATGGCAATACATGGTGATACATGGTAATACATGGCTATACATGGTAATACATGGCTGTACATGGTAATACATGGCTATACATGGCTACACATGGGTATACATGGCAATACATGGCTATACATGGCAATACATGGCTATACATGGGTATATATGGCTATACATAGGTATACATGGCTATACATGGGTATACATGGCAATACATGGTGATACATGGTAATACATGGCTATACATGACATTACATGGCTATACATGGCTATACATGGCTATACATTGCTATACATGGTAATACATGGTGATACATGGTAATACATAGCTATACATGGCTATACATGGCTATACATGGTAATACATGGTGATACATGGTAATACATGGCAATACATGGTAATACATGGCAATACATGGCTATACATTTGTATACATGGCAATACATGGCTGTACATGGCTATATATGGGTATACACGGCAATACATGGTGATACATGGTAATACATGGCTATACATGACATTACATGGCTATACATGGCTCTACATGGCTATACATTGCTATACATGGCTATACATGGTAATACATGGTGATACATTGTAATACATGGCAATACATGGCTATACATGGGTATACATGGCTATACATAGGTATACATGGCTATACATTGCTATACATGGTAATACATGGTGATACATGGCAATACATGGCTATGCATGGCTATACATGACTATACATGGTAATACATGGCAATACATGGTAATACATGGCAATACATGGCTATACATGGGTATACATGGCTATACATAGGTATACATGGCTATACATGGCTATACATGGCTATACATGGTAATACATGGTAATACATGGCTATACATTGCTATACATGGTAATACATGGTGATACATGGTAATACATGGCTATACATGGCTATACATGGCTATACATGGTAATACATGGTGATACATGGTAATACATGGCAATACATGGTATTACATGGTAATACATGGCTATACATGGGTATACATGGCTATACATGGGTATACATGGCAATACATGGCTATACATGGCTATACATGGCTATACATGGCTATACATGGGTATACGTGGTAATACATGGCTATACATGGCAATACATGGCTATACATGGCTATACATGGCTATACATGGTAATACATGGTGATACATGGTAATACATGGCAATACATGGTAATACATGGCAATACATGGCTATACATGGGTATACATGGCTATACATGGATATACATGGCAATACATGGCATTACATGGGTATACATAGCTATACATAGGTATACATGGCTATACATGGGTATACATGGCAATACATGGCATTACATGGGTATACATAGCTATACATAGGTATACATGGCTATACATGGGTATACATGGCTATTTTGATACATTTCTTGATACACTTTAATAACCCTACTTAAAGTACCTACCGAAAGCTCAATTGATGCAGCTGCCCAACTGTACTGACCGGTACACCTTAAAAATAAGCTCAGATCGTGAACGTTTGAAAATCCACGGTAAAGGCTAAGACAGTTTAGTGTCTTTATCACACCTGGTAGATAGTATCACTGAAAGACAGGTCCATAAATGTCTTTCTTTACTTCTCTTCTAGTTTGACTTGATATTATACCATGAGTTTCATTTGTTCTTCTGTTGCCTAAAAAATTAAATCGCGCGTATATAGAATGTATCACTGACAAGAAATGTTTTATTGAGATATTTATAGTTCAGAGCAGTATAACGCGCACTCTGATTGGCTTAAAAAGCGTGTTTATCAGTTTGTTTTGAAAATTAGAAAGTAATTTGTGGCGAATTTAACGGATTCTTTATCATAAAACTACTAAAGAAACCTTTACTGTGCTTTGTTATGTTACAAAGCACTTGAGAAGTGGGGAGAAACACTCGACTACGTTTCGTGTTTCCCCCTACATTTCTTTCGTGCCCTAGCCCGGCGCTTTCTTCGTGATTTATAACAGAACAGAGCACAGTCAAGGCATTTGTTAATCAAACACAGAGGACTGGAGAGTTTCTGGGTGCTTTTGGTTCGAATATCGCAAGTTTATCCCGTATCCTAGATTACTAGGAAAGACACAACGTCCCTCTTCTGTTCCTCCCACATACAGTGAAACCTCTATTAAGCGGACACCTTCGGGACCTTCCCAAGTGTCCGCTTAATAGAGGTTTTGTAAAAATTGCACATTGTTTGTTAACGATTAACATTCAAAGGTTACTCTGTACTGTGATAAAGTTCCATGTTGTTAAGGACGCTAAGGAAGCTGTGCTTTACATGGTGCAAGACTTTTAGGTGAACTTTTGACAGCTAAATGTATTGATTTATCCTTATAAATCGACTACAGTATGTATTTCAAGGACATAATCCAATACTACTATTGTCAATTCAGTCCGGTTTCCGCTTAATAGAGGTTTTTAACAATAGAAATTAGCCAAATACAATTTATTTTAGTGTCCTCGTCCGCTTAATAGAGGTGTCCGCTGAATTGGGATTCGTCATAAAGGCTAATATAAGACATTAATTTCGGGACCCGGCTTAGAGTCCGCTTAATAAAGGGTGTCCGCGCAATTGGGGGTCCGCTTAATAGAGGTTTTACTGTAGTAAGAAATGGGTGACCCTAGCGTTGGTGGAGTTTGGAGTATTTTAAATCAAAGAAACAAAGTCAAGAGCACACACCTTTGAGTAGAACTGAAATCCTCCTTGCTGGTAAGACATCTGTGCTTTAGACAATGTTATTATCTTGGATTCTACTGCCTAAACAATAAAAATAGAAGAAAATCATGAGAAATCAGGTTTTATGTCAAATGTACTGACAAGTGATACGAAAACCATGATTCTATTCTATGACGGGTGATAACGAATTGCCTCTCATTTCTCAAGGAATAAAAGCATCAGCGCCAATATCCTTCCCAAGGTAGTTGTGTAGGAGCTGCTTGGAAGGTCTCTCCTGATTGGCCGCAGAAAACAATGACATGTCATTCTTTCAATTGTTTCAGTATTGTTTGGGGTCAGGGTTAGGCACCACTGGTGACTTTTCTTCCGAGCAGCTGCAACATGACCTTCCCAAGGCTTTGATCCTGCTGGTTTAGCACTAAAAGTGACTGTTCTGCCAGACAAGGCTAAGAAAAGCTCTGAGGACCAGATTGCAAGAGCGACCTGAAGGCGTCACGCAACTCATTTAACCCTTTGTGTGACGGCCTTCCTTGCAAGTTGCGATTTTCAGGCGTGCGCGCTTTGTTCGCTCTACGACACCTGTGAAAAATATCAGATACCTTGTTGACTTAAGTCGACTCCTATTCTTGTCGTTTCTTTGGTCACGTGGTCGCCGAATTGAGGGCTGGCAACAATAAGGGCACGTGTAGTAGATATCACTGGTTATGATTAAAACGAATTTTGGTAAAGGTTTCCAGTTTAAGAACAAGAGATGAACGAGTTAAATTAAAAATAAGAGTTGCTACACGTATTCTCGGCTCTCGATGACGTTCAAAATAAACAAGAGTGCTGCTGACCTTAAGAGGAGTAAGTTTCTCCCATTTTCTAACCGGAAAACGCCATGCGGAAATGAGGTAAAAGCGGAACTTGGTAGTCTGATAAAGTCACAACAAAAATATTCTATGACGCCATGAAGAAAAGGAGTGAAGCGTGCGCACCTTTGCTCAGAATTGAAATTACATATTAAGCCAATAAAGAAATAAAATAATAAAACAACTTGCGACCAGATCCCCTCCTAAGCATGATAGCATTTCAAGCTACTTTATATGATACCTTCTCGCTATAGCTGTCTTGCACAAAGGCATTACCACTGTTAATAAACTGTTCATCCTGGTAGAACAGGTCTACAAGTGTACGGCGATCCTGATCCTTACAGTACTGCAGAGAAATCACAGTCATGCCAAAGTGAATATATAGGTTTCACAATAGCCTGCGTGGCAGGTACAAAACGAGGGAAGGGGGAGGGAGAGGGAAAGAGAGTGAAGGGAAAAGGTAGTAGAAATGAAAAAGGTGGTCCTAGAGCAGGCTTCCCTTTCCCACTTTCACTTTTTTCAATACCTCTTAAGACGCCTGCCACACAGTTTAATGATTTACAATAACCGAGTGTTTTCTGCGCCCCGATTGGTCGACAGGTTTTTCTCACGACAGTACAGAGAATAGAAACGAAAGATCCTTCTCGCCTCTGTCTGTTGAGCGCGATTCTCCAAGACATTGTAGAAAAACAACAACAAATAGCTAGCTAAAGACAGGTAGCTATTTTTCACTGCCGAGGCTCCGACATTTCAAAGAATTGACATTAGATGGTACAAACGTTGCCGTAAAACCACTCACTCCTCCAACATTTTGACGTCATTTTTGTGATCTTAAGAGCGACTTTCTATAAATACCACGGATAGGTGTGCAAGATGGAAAAATCGAAATCTCCCAAACTTTGTCACATTAAAGTCCTTATGAAACTATTTCAGAAAATACAAGATTCAGTTTCTTGTGATTGATATTTTCCAAAATAATAAGTTTTTTGAAATTTCACCTCCGAGAGGCCCTCAAACCACCGAAAAATGCCCTTCGCATCCTCGCTTTGTGAATTGAAACAGAAACAAATACCACAACTATTGCGATATAAGATGATTTTATGACCCTTCCTTTGTATGAAAACGTTGTTATAATTTCAAACGATCTCAGTCTGAATTTTTAATTATTTTTCAAAATCACCCTCTTAAACAGTTTTATCGCGACTATCAATTTTGCCATTTTTCAACGGCAAAAAACCCTTCCTGGTACATGGCTTTCGTTCTGCAAATGCTATTCCAGAGAAAGAGCAATCCTTCTTCTTTCAATTTATGAAATAAAATTTTGGGGCAATTCAAACGGCAAGTTTTGAGAACTGAAAACATTAACGGTACTTGCGTGAAATTTACAACTTTTGAACTTGCGGTTGTAATGACGAATACAAGAGTAAAGTTGGACCGCAGTTGCAATTTTACTAATAATGCGGCCTTTTCCCTTAGCTATTAAAAGAAGACTGGTTACGTTTTATTGTGTACTGTCTTACCTTCAGTTTACGCCGAAAAGGAGCTTCCTTCTTTTTAGAAATATATTCCAGAAGCGTCGATACATTTTTGTTTACTTTCTCATCGAGGAATGTAAATACTCGATCTCTGTTCTAATTCGTATTCAATCTACAAACTTATAACCGCTTCATAATTAATTATAACACAAACTAATACAGCCAATAAAACCAATAAGAAAGATTTTCTTCGTGTTTGAAAGATATATGTTTGACTGAAGTAGTATTAAAATTGCCAATGTACCTTGGCACGTGCATTACGTCAGGAAGCGATGGCGCGCCATCGTGGCTCAGTGTACGACAATTTCATTTTCCATCGCGAACGTGAGAACATTATACAATGAAGTCTTAACGGATCTTCGCTTGTAGTTTCGCTTGATGTTTTATATTTCCATTCGTGTAAGTGAATAGTTAAAGTGAGTAGTTAATGGCTACCTGTAGTTATTCGAAACTCGTTGGAGGGGCGTGTGGTCCAAGTGTTTCCAATCCTGCAAATGTTGAGTGCGCTTTAATTGGAGAATGTGGTAAGGATATTCAAGGCCATCTGAAGCAAGCTCACAAATGTAAAGGACTCTACCTTGGATGAAGCAAGGTTACTCTTGGCCAGAGCAGGTCAGTGTTTTCTTCTGCTGTAATTCTGTGTCAGATTTGTGGCGCCAAAATATCGCGTAAAGTCGAAAACTGCTAGGGGGGAGGGGGGGGGGTTACTCATCAAAGTGTTGGAGGCCCGACGTCTAATCCTTACCTTTTGATACGCCAATTTGATAAAAATGTACCTCTGCGCTGCACCTCTCAAGGAAATACTAAATAAAACTAAATTAAACTTAATGACAGATTTCCTTAGCCGTTCACTACTTTCATCTTGAACTTGTGAGACCCCTACCCTCTAAAGCGTTTGAAAAGGGTACCCCTTTCGGGTGGAGCCTCCCCGCATAGAAAGCACCATAGAATACTGGGTGCTTTCGAAAAATTGTTCATCGCAACAATTCCCTGTAACTAGAGATGACGTGATGAGCGTAAAGTCCTTTACGTATAAGTAGTGGCACACTCTTTCCCGACGAAAAGAACCGAAAGCATCTCACTTTTACGCCGGCGTTATACAATAACGTTTTGATTGTACATAAAACTGCAAAACTAGTTTAGAAGTCAACCTAACAGCCCTGGGGACGAGGTTGGTTGAGATGTCGCTTACGAAGGGCCTAGGTGGGACAAATTTCCTGCCTCCCCTAGAGTCTCCCAGGGGTTTGGACCGGTGGCGGACAACCGAACATGGTGTCATGGGCTCCTGACATGACCAAGGTGACCAATTTGCACTGGGGAGCAAAATAATAATGTGCTCGTATGATGTCAGAAACACACGCCGAAGCATCCAACAATACAATTGTACTCCGCATCATTGCCCGCTATGCTGTTGCAACAAATCCTAGGGATTTAGGACTAACTCTACGCCTAACCAAACTTTACCCTGGCCCTAGCCAAGCGGTTAAGTAAACATATGAATATCTTTTGCAAGGTTGCTTTGAAATGGATGAGGTGCATTTGAACACAACGATATGTCCTCGTCACCGGGACCTTTGGGGAATAAGATGGCGTAACAACAAGAAGAACTGTTCTTGTCCAGACAAGTGGAAACAGCATGAAAAGAACCAGAAAGGAGATCGAGGGATAAGCATGGCTCAGTCGAGAAACCTGTATATCCAGACGCAAATTATATTGCCCGTGGGTTCTCGTAAGTACTACTGCTATGATCCACGCGACGTTTAGGCTGTAATAACCTGTCCAACAATTTTAAAGAAGAATCACTTTTTCATCGTGTTCTAATAAATGTTTTAAGACTGCTGATTTGTGCCGTTAGTGCAATTGAATGATTTCTTTTATTTCTTTTCTGACAAAATTCTTTCTTGTTTTTTTTTAATTAATTGTCGAGGAGAAATTTGGAGTAGGCAATTCTAGACTATTATCTATACTGGTTACGGCTAAATAATGACAGAGACTTAATCTGCTTATTCCAATGTTAGCTATATGCAAACAATGTCGAACAAGACTAAGCATTCAAAGGGAAGACGATGAGGTAACATTAACAGCGCCTAAATCCCAAGATGAAACACGTGGAGACAAGGATTGCGAAGAGACAGAATCCACTTCCTCAAGTCCAGGAGAGCCGCCACTTGACGTTGTAAGTTAAATTATACCAGGGTCAAGTTGTGCGGTTAAAAGAACGATATATCTAGGCTAACAGTCGGTATATTATAGTTGCTTTTCAAATCTCGGGTGTGGAACTGAAGGGACCGGGAAGCTCAGAAAAAAAGCAAACACAAAACAAAACCAAGAAAAAAGCAAAAAAACATTTGTAGCCTCAAACTAGCGGCACGAAAAAACAACTTTTAAATTTAACAATTTTTTTCATCAAAGTGCGGACTTCTCTCCGGAAGAACGTGTTAGAGGACTCACTAGAAACTTACGAGATTTCAGATAAGGAGGAGTCGAGTAATATGTATGACGTTACAATTGGCCAAATTTATAAACGATCGGAAGACTGGGTACGAATGTGATTCAACACTTGTCAACTGATGGAGCATTTAAACATGAGTGCATTGATTAAATTTCATTGTTTTTGGAATAGAAGGCTTCTAAAAATATGTAATTACAGAGACCTTTAACTAGATTAGGAACTTTCAATTTCCCTTTTGGCATTGGCTAAGCAATAAGGTGTCTTTTCATTAGCAGGCCGACCAACTGTCTCAATCAATGGGCCAACTCTTTATTGAGCAGGAAACAAGTCTTTATCTTCCAGAAGATACAGGCAACAGTAGTGAGTCTTCCGGTGCCGAGGACCAACGTACAGTAGGAGCACAGAGAACAAAGTTAAATGAATTTTTAAGTGCCTGCAACGTTGGAAATACTGTTGGCGTGTACAAGAAAAAATGGCAAGACACAAGTTTGCGCACTAGAAGAAGTCGCGTATCAAAAGCTAAAGAATCAATTGTAGCAGCTCTGAATGTGATTGCACCTGGTGATGCTGGTCCCTTATGGGAGGCGCTAAAGGAATCTAAGTCTGTGGAGAAAGCTTTGGGGATAGCAGAGGAGTCTCAGTCAGATGGGAAATATTTGGAGGCCTTGGCTGAAACGTACAACAACGCATCAAGCTGGGCGACGCGCCGTCAAATATTATCAGTCATGGCGGACCTTACTTCCTTAGAGAAAATCCAGGCCTACATACCCAGCATCACTGAATTCAAATTTGCCATAGCCAGGAAGCACAAAATAGAGTACGGCCGAGGTGTTCCACTACCCCTGAAAAAAAGCCCAAGAATGCGTGTGGACACCATTCAACTGGACCATTTCATATCATTCATTACAAGCCCCCACATCATTCAAAACCTCCCTTTTGGCCAGCGGTACTTACATCCTTCGACTGGTAAAGTTTTGGAGACAGCCAATGTGATACGAAATATGATACCACAGCGTATTGTTAAGCAAAACATGCAGTACTGCTATGAAACAAATTTCAAGCCATTTAGTCCATCGACCATTCTTCGCATTTTGTCTTGTTGTAGCGCAACGGTTAGGAAATCCTTGCAAGGACTCGATTACATTGCGGCAGAGGGAGCGAAAGGATTTGATGATTTGCACCGAATTTTGGACCGTTTAGGAGAGTACGATCTTAGAAGAGACCTGGTGAGCCATTATCAAAAATCTCTTAAGGAAGCAAAGCATTAATTGAAGGCTGAATATAAGGTATATCAGTTGTAATCAAAGTATTTGATTTGAAAAGGCTTGCCATATTGTGAAAGCGCGAGAGCATGGGCGACAGTCAGCAGTTTTTTGAAGTGGCTGTTCACAAGATCAAACAAGAGCCTGATATTAATGCACTGGCTTCTGCTTTTACGCTTTCTAATGACAATCTTTTTCGAATCAATTACTTATTATCAAGTTATAGTGCATTGTCTCAAAATATTTTTGCCATTTTTCCAGGCTCATGTTGCTGAATCTGTAACCATTGCGGATCACTGCAGTACGTATGCTTTGATTGATAGTAAGGAGGATCCATTTAAAAGCACGTGCAATCATTCACATGACAAACGCTGTATGCAATGTGAGACCCTGAAGGACGTTCTAGAAAAAGTCGAAAATTGTTTTGTGGACTGTGAAGTGAGTCCAGAGGAATTGGACGATTTGAAGTATTCTTGCCGACAAGCGGTAGACAGCATCAAAGGGTGGAAAGCACATCAGCTTCGAAGTTGCAGACAGGACGAGGCAAGAACATCCATTCTGAATACCCTTGATGAAAGGTCTGTTCACGTAACTCAGGACTGGGCCATGAAATTCCTCCCACAAAAATACCGAGGGTCGCAATCTGATTGGTTTGGTAAGCGAGGAATTTCGTGGCACATAAGTGTGGTTGCGCGCAAGATCAAGCAATGTTTTCAACACCAGGCATTTGTGCATGTTTTGGAGAACTGCAAGCAGGACAGCTACACTGTTGTGCGAATAATTGAACATACTTTACGGACCCTGAAACATGAGCATCCCGAATTGACAACTGCTTTTCTACGGCAAGACAACGCCGGTTGCTACCATTCTGCTGAAATGCTCGCAAGCTGTGCTCAAATGGAATCTAAAACTGGTATCGCAGTACGAAGGGTTGACTTAAGCTATCCTCAGGGAGGGAAAGGTCCTTGCGACAGAAAGGCGGCTACTGTCAAAGCCCATGTAAGGAGATACATCAACGAAGGTCATGATGTGTTGAATGCTAATGACTTCTTGAATGCCATGCTTTCAAATGGTGGAATACCAAATGTTAGAGCGGTTATTGCTGATGCCTATAGTACCGAAAGGGATGCTCAACTTTCACGGAAGTGGTCTGGCGTTAACTCTTTAAACAACTTTTTGTATTCTGAGAAAACTATCACTGTTTGGAAAGCGTACAATGTTGGCGAGGGAAAGAAGGTACCAGGTATGCAAAACAAATGGGGAAAAGTTTTTCATTTATTCAACTTATTTAACCTTAAATGTGGAGTACAAGGTTCTATGCTGCCGTCACGCTCGGCATGAAATTTTTTATAAGAAGAAGAAGAAAAAAAAACAGTGACAAGAAAAAAAACACTGGAATAAAAAAAACTCTTTTTCTTATTGAAGTTATACTCGTGCTCCACACTCTAGTTTACCACCTATTACTTATCCTTTGCGCGAAATACCCCTAAACAACAACAACAACAACAACAACAATAATGAAAAAAACACTGTCCATTTGCGGAGCTGAATCTTGTGTAATGGTATTACATTTTCATTTTGGTTTTTTAGTTCCAGATTACTCACAGCCGCCCGGCTTTGAGTGCCAGTTTTCCTCAGGGGACTTCTCAGAGGTACCTCAGGCGGTCGATAAGCAAAAACCCAGTTTTCAAGAGACTGGTGAACAACATCCAGATGAGAAGGAAGAAGACCGAGACCTGAGCGCTATGTTTTCTTGTCCGCACGAGGGTTGCGTTAAGATGTTTCAGCGTCACTATGCTTTGGAAAATTACTTGCTGTATGGGCAATGTGAGTTTCTACCGGTCAGAGAAAGTCTTATGGATAAGGCCAAAGTATTATACCATGATAAACTACTCTGTGAGGCGAGCAACCTGCCATCCGTGAAAGCTGAGTCAAGTCAATGCCCGGTAACAACTGAGGTTCTTCCACAAGGGTGGGCTTTAAGATCCGCTAGAAAGGCAACACGGTTTAGTGATTCCCAGCGACAGTACTTAGACGGGAAATTTAACGTCGGGCAAGCAACAGGAGTGAAACTTGATCCTGTGGATGTTGCACGTGACATGCGTTACGCGCGAAACCAGGAAGGGGAAAAGCTGTTCACTGTAAGTGAATTTTTGACCGAACAGCAAATTCAGTCATATTTTTCAAGACGAGCCTCTAAACTCCGGCATTCTCATTCAGAAGATCCAGAATCTGATCAAGACGAGGATATTATGGCCGCTGAAGAGGAAATCGCGCACGAAAATGTTCGCGCAGTTGTGTTAGAGGAGGTGGGAATAAGGCACCCAATTGTTTTCGACACTTTCAACCTATGTGACATGCACAAGGCAGGTAAACTGCGACACCTAAGTGTTTCCATGCTGCGTTCCATTTGCGAACATTTTGACATCGAAGTGATGAACATCAAAGGACGACGCAAAGCTCCTTACTTGTCTCTACTTGGGGAACTTCTCGTGGCATGCAGTTGTCATAACAGTTAGGGTCTGTACCGACTAATCAAATTAACATTCCAGCCTCAACATTCTTTGATTTTCAGATCCTTATTCCATCACTTATTTCTTCCCAGGCGTTCATTCATTTGTACAGGGTTAACCTCGATCAAAGGTAAATATATATATTCACAAATTCCAGTCAGAAGAAGACTTGTATACAACTGTTTCTATTGTTTTTTACTGAAATTCCGACACCTTCTAGCTGGTATTTGTGAATATTTTACTTTAGGCCGAGGCTAACCCTGTATAAATGAGTCTTCAGTGCTTCTATTCAGCGGCCGCGATTAATTCGAAACTGGACTATTTTGTGCCAGGCAATAACTAACTACTGGGAGGGGTTGGGATTTGGGGATTTTTTTAAATTCCCAACAAGAGATCGGCTCCTGCTCCCAAGTTTATTATTATTATTATTATTATTATTATTATTATTATTATTGGAAAGCCTACACAGCTTTTTCTTAGCGATTATGGCTCAGAATGCATTGTCAATCAGAAGTACTGGGGAAAGTTTTGTTTGCCTTGGACCCAACCCCAACCCCCACCCCCTCTTACTTGTTCTTGTCAAAGAGAATGTCACGCAATCTAGTTTAGCTGCGGGACTTTGGTCTTTTTTCAAAAATATATATATTCGAGGTGAGTAAATGTTTGTCTTATTCTTCCGTCATTGCTTTTACGATTTCTTTCAGACGAAATGCGAATATTTTGATGCATACTTGTTATTTATAGAATATTGCGATAATGACTGGCACAAGTCGTCAGGCTTCAAAGTAAACAAATACGCACGTACGGGAAGTGTTGTCAAGATGTTTACAGCTCAATTTCGCACAATAAAAATGCTGTTCCTTTCGGATAATTGCCACTATGAAGTCAATAATCGTTTGTTTAGTTTTTGAACTGGTGGAAAAGGATCAAATTCGCGAAGAATTTAAACTGCTGTCCAACTTTACTCTTGTATTCGTCATTACAACCACAAGTTCAAAAGTTGTAAATTTCACGCGAGTACCGTTAATGTTTTCAGTTCTCAAAACTTGCCCTTTGAATTGCCCCAAAATTTTATTTCATAAATTGAAAGAAGAAGGATTGCTCTTTCTCTGGAATAGCATTTGCAGAACGAAAGCCATGTACCAGGAAGGGTTTTTTGCCGTTGAAAAATGGCAAAATTGATAGTCGCGATAAAACTGTTTAAGAGGGTGATTTTGAAAAATAATTAAAAATTCAGACTGGAATCTTGTGAAATTATAACAACGTTTTCATACAAAGGAAGGGTCATAAAATCATCTTACATCGCAATAGTCATGATATTTGTTTCCGTTTCTATTCATCATGCGAGGATGCGAAGGGCATTTTTCGGTGGTTTGAGGGCCTCTCGGAGGTGAAAATTCAAAAAAATTATTATTTTGAAAAATATCAATCACAAGAAACTGAATCTTGTATTTTCTTAATAGTTTCATAAGGGCTTTAATGTGACAAAGTTTGGGAGATTTCGATTTTTCCATCGTGCACACCTATCCGTGGTATTTACAGAAAGTCGCTCTTAAAGAGTGAACGCATAAAAGGAAAAACGTTTCCTAGCAAATACAATATTAGCGTTACGTTGAAGGACCTTACGGCACGTTTTCTCTTGGTTGGAGCCTTGAACAAATACACACTCATTTACACAACTCTTTTCTCATAGACTCACCTTGATGTGGAGGCTGAGTGCCACAGGACGGTAACGTATGGCCATCAAGAACTCGCCAGGAATTAGATTATCCTTCAAATGCATAACAACCATAAATACTAGAAAGAAAAAAAAGACAACACAAATGAAATGTCATCTGGATACAGAGGAAAATCAAGTAGGCGGGTTTTGGATGACGGCGGTTTGGATCCATCAATTGTGATCACCTGAGCAGAGAAAGCTGTTACCATTGGAGGAGAGCATGTAAGGATCAAGATGGTTGAGATATACTTGAAATTGTGTCAACGGCAAGAAAAGATCAGAATAATAAGCTACAAAACAAGTTCGAAAATGTTTTACGGTTTGCAACTCTGCCCGTGCTTGTAACACCGCTAGTGTAACGCCAACTTTTAGGCTGAGAAAAAGTTGATTTTAATTTTTTTGAACCTTTGGTACAATTTCAACATAACGATAGACCTTCCTATAAGTCGGCTTTTGAGCGACAACGACGAAACAAAACGGACTAAAAAGATCACCAAACTGCTGTAGCTAACCGCAGTGGTACCCACTCACAACTCACCCAGATCCGTGTCTCCACTCATAATGGCCTTCTCGAGCGCTAGGTCATCTTTATTCATGCTCATGAGCAGTGGAACTTGGTCAGCGGCTTCCGCCTCATAGTCCAAAAGCTACAGGTAAAAAAATAAAAAAAACAAGAAGATGTGAGCATCTTGAAAGATACATTATGAATCATGAATTGGCTATGATAGGCTCGTTTACCGATTGTCAAACGACGAACTTACTATGGTGAGATTGCTCCAGCTAGAGGTCAAGGCTGGCTTTAAGCCAGGCTGTAAGCAGGTCTCCTCGTGGAGGCACAGGCGGCGAAGCCACGAGAAAGGCCGTAGGCAAAACCTGGACCGCAGAACCGGATCAGATCATTCTCAGAGGCACTATCCCTTACCTTTCGTTATTCAGTGAGTTACTGGGATTGATCCGGTCTGTTCCAGGTGTTGTTGACGTCCCATGAAACGAGCATGTTGGTAACCCCTCGAGCGAACCACGGTGAAAGCTAAGAATTTATCTTAATCAATTAAGTTCACATAGGAAATTTGGCATAGTAGGGACATTTCGAGTGCTAACCCTTCGGTCAGTCTGACGAAGGGCTAGAGCATAAAACTTCAACATGTTTTTTTATATTGAATTAAAAATTTCAGTTGTTAAAACCCTCGATGTTCCTTTCCCCCATTGCTCTTCTTTGCAGCCGTAAGTTTTTTTTCTCGACGGGTGCCCAAATTTTAAAAAAAATTTTTCCGAAAGTTTTTTGTTCATTGAACTTTGCTTCCGGGAATTTCTAGAATTTTCGATTGAATGCATGGTTCACATTTCGGAAATTCAACATCTTTCGGAATTTCTGGAAACTTTTCCTGGACATTTCTGTACCATTTGCCGCTGTTTCCAATTTTCGAACGTTTTGGTTGAATGGAAAGCGCCCGTTGTTTTGCAACGGCATCAACGTCAAACAACAATTGGTTTTATGAGCAAAACGACTGCTCTGCACGTGAATCACGCTTTTTGGTACATTTCTTTGACGTCCACTGCACGACTACGACGTGAAACCTCCCAATGCGACGTTTTATGGAGGACGTGGACATACGAAAACAAATTTTCTGTTCTCTATTTGAAGATGGATAAAGACAATAGGAATTTAACTCCAGGAAAAGTCGCCTACATTTAACGAATTAAGCGGTTCCAAATAGACGCGATAAAGATTGAAAGGACGCGGGAAATTCATTTTCTTAGTGACGTTTTCACTGCCGTCGTCGTCGTCTTTGCTTAAGCTGGCTGATAAAGTGCAGCGCTGAAAGCAAGCGAGGTCTTAATACTCCAGGTACGGAAAAAATTCTTGATTACTCACAGTAAACGCAATCCCGCAGGTAAAAAACCCATTCTATATCAACCCACGTTATTTTGAACCTTGTGCATTTAGCAAGGAAATACTAACGGAAGACACCAGTTTATGTCCCAAATTGAACTGGGAAAGTATAGTCTATAATTATACTGTTCATGTGAATGCTCTCAACTAACCTTGATGGCCAGGTGCGTTCGTCCACAGTCCACTGCCTTTGAAGCTATTTCTGAGTAAGATATCCCAGGAGTCTCTCCGAGCTTGGAGTTGATGGCACGAGCAATCTCTTCGTCATCAACATTGGCTTGCTGAACCTGTTTAAACAAGAAAAGCAAGTTTTGAAGAAGTGAAGGATCGAAAGAGATGTCAATATATTTAACACAAGAAAAACTATTTACGGACACTATTGTCTTCTACTAGGGCGGAGAAGTTAATTTCAATGCGATCATCCGGCCAGCCACGTGAAAGTCCAACTGTTTATTTATTGAGGAAATAGAACACAACAGGATTAAAAACCCCAACTGGCAGGAGGCAACCAGATGGCTATTTACAAGCATTTACAAGCATGACCGGGTATCTGAACTTGGAAATACCGCGAATAAATTCAGCAAGTGGCTAGAGTGGGACTCCAACCCGGGACCGGCGGATTGCGAAAACAACGCGATGGGCGCCTGGCCACGCTGTCTTCACCGCGTACAATCCACTCTAATTGATCCACATCTTTTCATAGGTTGATTTTGTGATCTTTGATAAATACACAGATCTTTTCATAGGTTGATAGATACACAAACACGAAGAGAAATGAGCCAAATTCAGCACATGAAACAACCACGGGACACCCAACTCCAGTCATGTCTACTGCCACAACTATAATTCACCATTACCAATTTTATTAATTACCAGCCATAAGCTGATTGCGGGAAGACCCCTGCTTACATATAGGTAACAGCCAACCGGTATCCGCTGGTTACACCCACTTTATAACGAGCCAAGTGTCCAAGGATGCGACTGGCACCCTCCCCCTTAGGAATCTTCCAGTAATCACAGATTCTTATGGCCAGACAGTAGTGACGCCTCAAAACAAGCCTACAGGAGCAGAAAATAAACGGTAATAAAATAAACTTAAGGGTAATAATTCCATCTCCAGGGACTGGTCTGTTGGTGGAAAAATCAATGTAGTAAACACGGTTTAGACACGGAAAGTAGGCAAGTAAAAAAACAAAAACTTTGCTTCAACTTGTTTTATATTCACTAGGAATATAAATAATTTTGATATTTAGAAATGACTTAAGTCCAACCACGTTACCATTTTAGTCAGGCAAAAGAGAAAGGTTATCGGACATACATCGTCTCAATTTTGCTATTTTTTTTCTTAAAAGTACTATTTCGTACTATGTACTATAGCGGGTCTGGTGTATAATCAATAAAAATTTCGACCCTCCACACTATAGAGCTCCCAGCAGCTCAGCGGGGAGAGCGTCCTGATCTTGAACTCGAAAGGTCGTAAGTTTGATTCTCACCTGAAGCTCGGAACTTATTGAACGTTTCATAGTGCAATAAACACTTAAACACTTAATGACTGGTCTCGAAGGAAACAGTTAAATTTGTTTTCCGAGAATCTCAATGTTTCCCGAGGCTATATAGCTGGAAATTCATTAAACCTCGCTTCCCTCGCTGTAACGGTCATGTGACCTCGGAGAAACCAATGAGAGAGCGCACTGTTATGAAAAAATTTCCAGCTATATGCAATACACCTTTTTTACCGCCCCCTCCCCCTCCCCCTCAAAAAATGCTTAAGCATTGAACGTTTTACCTTTTTTAAAAAGATAACAAACAGCGTGACAAAAACAAAACTCACCTGTCGATAAGGGTCTTCATTGTTAGTTTTTCCAGTCTAAGACGATCGTCAAGGCGTCAAAATTGGATAATTTTTGAAAATAACCAGAGTACTCTCAGAGGACAAAAAAGCAAAATGGAGCCCACTTTAAGAACTTAATAAGAGCCCCAAAATTGAAAACTGTGTTAACGTACTTTTAACATATCCGCTTCAAAAAACAGAAAAAGGAACATATCTCGTTCGTTCCCTGTAAAAAAAAAAAGTAATTTAAACCCCGCAGTTTTGCCCCGTTACATAAATCGCACCAAAATCACCGTTCTCTTGTGTGGACAGAAACACTCTCCGATATGGTTTCTGTCCCGACGCAAGAGCTATCTGGCATAGTGTTAGACTAAGAAGAAAAAGTTTCCGCGCAAGTTCGTCGAAAGTGTTGGGACCAGAGCAATGATAACTTACTTGAAGATGATGTGAACTGCGGAAATGCAAGTTTCAATGAAGATATGATCGTCGCAGCGGAAATTCCAATTTAAGCAATTGCAAATTAACCCGAAAAATGAAAAAAAATTTTCGTGTTGCTACGGAGGCTAGCATAGTGTACACTTGCTGCAACACATGCTGCAATTGGGCAAAACGTAACCTGTGAGACGAGGCTTTTGCAACAACTGAAATTTGGCTAAGATAAAGGATATTGTCCATATGTAAGTGGAATTCCAACCATGTAGTCCCGCACGGCGTTTAACACTCTAAGATTCCGGCACATCAAAACAAACGCGTGTGGCGGCATATCAGTTAGAAAACTCTCACCAAAGGAAGCAGCCTAGCAAAGAGAAGGAAAGATTACAGCTGAGATCAGTAAAAAAAAAACCGGTTATACTATAGGTGGAATTTTCCCCAACATCGACCGCCGGAGCGCTCTTATTGGTTACTACAAGGACACATGACATGTTACACGAGAACTATTTCCCGCCTAAAATCTCTGACCAAGCGACGTTACAAACATCGCTTGGTAGATGGTAACAGAGCAGTGTTATCGGCGAATGTTGACCACTCGCTGAGATTTGCTATACTTTCAATTCATCCTGTATAACTGAAAAATCACTGAATGCCGCGTTCGTCGAAAGCATTAATGAAGTCCTTTATGTCTCTTACTACACTCCTCAAATAGAAACATAATGGACGAACTCTTGGCGCTCTTCGCTTTCAATTCAAATTACCCTGATACACTGAGTACAGATTTTCTTTTCACGGCATCACGTTCAACTATTTATGCCCAAGCGAAGGAACTTCAGCAGATTAACCAAAACATTTTTAGTAGGAGGTGGTGATTTTGCCACGGAAAACAGATAATGTATTTTTCAAACAATGGTAAATTTATCTAGCAGTTTACAGAACACCAATCACTGTGTAAGAAACCTTAAACTTGTCAACGAATCCCCACCCCCTGGGGGCGGGTTGCTGTGAGAATCGAAATATAGCAACTGAACATAAGGATCATGTGGTTACCATGACTACCTCTGAAACTATACTCACCCTCAGCAGTCCTCTTTGTATTGCAGGCTCATGTTCCCCGGCAGCGGCGTGGATACATTGCTGGACAGCCTCAGGAAGACGTTCTCTGATCATCCGAATGTACTCTTCTGCTCGGGCGCTCTTTTTCTGTTTCAAGGAATATACACGAAAGAATCAGAACGACAGCTTAATTTTTAGGGATTTACTTTTTAGTGTAGTTTAGAATCTTTAAGTTGAAACTTTAATGTTGTTCGTCAGGTATTCTTTTTATTATCATGCTATGTTTTTCTTCATTCATTATTGTTCTTTCTTATGAATTCTGTAAAGCGCTATTGAGCTTTTGGACTGAAATAGCGCTATATAAATAAAGCTGATTCTTTTTTATCATATAGAGAAACGTTCCATAGGCTAGGATGGTGACCTTACCAAGGAAAACAGGTCACCCAACAACAGGCTCGCCCAGGGTGGCTCGCAGTGGTGGTCTAACAATAAAGGGGGTGGGGGCGAGCCCCCTTGACCCCTCCCCTAGATCCGCCACTGGCTTGGGTAGGCGGCTGAGCCTTTTACCCGAGACAACTTTTTCCCAGGGAGGGTGAAGCATTGCTTGCCTCAAATTCCTTTGATGCATCAAACAGCATCGCACCTGGTTCCATTGAACCGATTTTAAACACTTGTTCCACAGCAGCTGAAAGATGAATAGAAATAGTTGCTCTAGTATCGGACATAATTACTCACGTTCGTGATAAGAAGTGGTTCTGGCAAGAGAGGATGATCTAAGCGAACGAATCCCCCATACATGACCCTATTTCCATGAAAATTAGTTTCAATCTATTCTTGGTTCTGTGTCATACTGCGTGGTTATTTCAAGGACGCCACCTTATTGTTCGGTTAGAGTGGCGTCATGTAATTTTAAACTTGGCGGGTAATTCATTTCACTGCCGATCACGCACAGCAAGCGCTCTTGGTTCTGGTTGAACGGTAACCGGTCAAGTCGCTAGAAAGTCATCTCGCCCGAAGTCATATCGACTGAAACCAGAGTAATGTCGCCCGAAATCTTACGTCATGTCGCCTAAAATTTTATCGAGTGTATAAACTTGAACAGAAGTAACATCTGAAGTATATCGCAAGGAATTTAGCCGAAAAATGTTGACTCAGCTGTGTCCGGTAACCTATGCAAATGTCAAGTTAAAGAAAGACGCAAATATCGCTGTTTATTTCGAGCGACATGACTCTGATTTCGGGCGACTTGACGGTAAACCGATTGAACAAGTCGACTGGAATAAAGTTTAGGGCTTCTTGCTTATTCGTGACAGCTTTGAAGGGGGGAATACTGAATGTAGAGTCAGTCCCATCTGCTTCCGGGAAGTAACTTGAAAAATCATACATAAGCCACAGCAAGACCACACTGAGCTAAAGGTTTACGTCAACAGTCTCGAGAGTTTATTTCGCTTTAAGCACCTACAGATAACAACACGTTTTAAAAGAAGGTAATTTGGAAAAGCATCAAATGTCTGTGGAGAAGAAATAAATCTCAAGGACATCCTGGCCACCAACAGGGATTGTTATTTTTGGCTACTGTATTTCGATAGCTTTATGAATCGAGAACAAGAGAGAACATCAGCGAGCATTTTGAAACTTTTCACTTGTAGTCTGCTAATACAGCCATTTCATCTTGCTCCTCGTTGCTAGGGAGGTTTCGCCAGGAGGAAGAACCGCCCGCAATCAACGTAATCATATTCACCAACCTGGAACTCGCTGAAGCAGTTCATGAGTCTCATTACCAATGATTCTTACGTCATCTAACTCTTGAACTAAATGAACAGCACTGTCCATACAATATGTGAAATATGTTAAGAAGTCAGGTGCTATCCGTAGCATATGCATATTTATTAAAACTGAACCATTGGATAATGCAGTTAAAGAGCTCTGATTGGCTTAGCCATCATGGTATATGAGCCACATACCAAAATTTGAAAATTGGTTGTTCTTACAAATAAAGTCGGGAAGGGCGTTTTTAATAAACAATTATTCCACTCATATCCAACGCGCACTCGTGCAATAATTGACAGCACAATTACCAACTTGGCCAAGCCAACATTTACAACAACAAGAAGAACAATGTTTAATCCTAGCATGCTCTACCAGTTAGATAGCTTGACCCGCAAATAGTTGGAAAGCTAGTCGGATCATGATAAAGAATGATCTTGTTAATCAAAGGATATCTAATAGTGTCCATTGTCGGTCCAACAACATCCAAATAATCGTCCCAGTAACATATGACAGCACCCATTGCACACCTGTAAGGTAAGTTGAAATAAGTAAAGATCGGAACACACAAGGAGACAAGTTGCAGCAACACGTTGTGGCGACAGATTAGTCCCTGTGTACAGGTCAGGCGACTAGTTGCAGCAACACGTTGCTGCAACAGATTACTCCCTGTGTACAGGTCAGGAGATTAGTTGCAGCGACACGTCGCTTGATGAGTAGCGGAAGAAAGAAAAACACCGATGGCTCTTAGTTTGAATTCAAAAGAATGGCCCGGCCAACCGGGCGAGAATTCGCCATAAAAGACGAGAGCCTTCATTCTAGAAACAACAATTGCTCCTTGGTCCTTACCAGGTTAGTTGCTTGGGTCTTGATGGATAAGAAGTATTGAACTCACAGTAGACTTTCTAAAGAAGACAGAAATACAACAATAACTGCAAAATTCAAAGAACTACGAAATACAGGCGTACTTAATAAGTTGAGCTCTTCAGGGCCTGGCCTAGTGGCCCGGGTTGCTAAGCTTACTCGCTTTGTGGAGATGTCGGCAAATTAAGTGAACGCGATAAAAATCAACATTGCCATAACAAGAATTTGTTTTTGCACGGTTTCCGAGGAAGAAGTGGCTAAACTAAATTAATGATGATAATCCCACCATGGAGAACTAAGGCGGATACAAAAATTTTAATTTTACGGGTCTTCATTTGTCACAAGAAAAGATACCTCAAATTCAAGTAGTATAAACAAATCCTTTTTACATGCTTTCTTCAAACCTTGGTATAGAATCAAAGCTAGTACTGACAGTAGAATTAGACCGCCACTCCTTCTCATTTTCGAAGAATCCGAGTCTACTCGGTGCTAGCTACTGGAACTCGTCCTCTGATAGCTGAAATTGCGGGCTGAACAAATGTGACAGTGTTATACCCACCTGTAAATCTGCTGATCCTATCCATAACAAACCAGTGTCTGTAAACATTGCTAGGTATTCATAATTGTAAGATATGGCCATTTCTATGATGGAAGTGACCGGGGCCCCAGCGCTGAATGAAACAGTCTGAAAATTGAATCATATCAAAACTATTCAACAACAACAGTAGCCAGCCAGCATACTCACTTGTCTGAGTTCGGTGAAGAATTTGTCAACATTATAAACGATCGAGACTTCGCTATTTCATATTTAAAGTTGTAACACTGATAAAGCCAGAGATGTACAATATTCTCATTGCGACATCTCAACACACTTCTCTATTTTTTCCCCTCCGTTCCTTCCTTCTCCCCGCACCCACTGCTTTGCTACGCCCTGTGGCTGATTCAGGATTGGTAAAAAGTAGCAACATGTTGTACACTTGGCACTCAAGAGGAAGTTTAGGATGTCGAGACAGCGACAGCAAAGAGAAAGTCTAAAAGGAAACAGGACGAATTTTCGACCGGCTGAAAATTCAGTCGAACGTTCACTCGAATTCGCAACAACGATTTTTCGCGCAATCCACGACACGGTGTTGCAACATTGTTGCGATATTGTTTCGAATGGTTGCAACGTTGTTTCAACATTGCAACGCTGTGTTGCGGCGCATCGTCTCCTATAACATCACCTTAACCGTATGAAAATCCAGACGCATAGCCGTTCAAAGTTCCGTGTGAACAGCGAAATATATTGAACGGTCCCGGGTGAACGATGTGTCCGGTCAAATGTTTTTAGCCGGTCGAAAATTCGTTAAACGATAACTCTACACGTGCATCACGCTTCTGGTACATTTTGCCGAGCGGGGAAATTTCCTACTTTCACGTTAATTGTATGGAAAACGTGAATACTTTGATCAATTTTTCTCTTGAATGCGGCCTCTGAGAATTTAACCCTAGAAAAGCCCAAAACTCGCCCGCATTTGAAAAATTGGATTCGTCTCCAAGAAGTTTCAAACAACCCGAATTCTCTTTTAAAGAGATGTTTTCGCCACCGTTGCTGAGTTGCAATCGGTGTGCAAATATCTGCTTGGTAAACTTTTCTTCAAATCCTGAAACAGACGTTTTAAAGACGGGAACTTTATGAAAAAGCAAGCATGTCTCGAGGTTGAAGTTATTTTTCATGGATGAAGAGAAACAATGATTGAATTATAAGTGGTTGTATCACGATAACAGTTCTACTGTATACTACAGCTCACCAGTCTATTACACTGTTCCTTTTCTGTAAGGTATAACACATTATCAATTGCCACTAGCAACGATCAACCTCTGTCATGCGGCATAATGACCCAGCTGCTGGGTGGAGCATCTAAACCTGGTTAAAAACATTATGGGTCGGTTATTTAAACGACGTTGAATTTAAGCCGGGGTTTAACGAATCTTTGGACCTCCAGAATCTCTTCCTTAGTGCGATATTTTAAGAAGATAAATGCTTTTCTAATCTACTCTATATGCTTTCATAAAACACTTCACAATAAACGGTGTTTAGATAAAACCGTTGGGCAAATTGAAAATGGCTCAGAACGCGGTTTTGTTAAACACTGGCTAAACTACGTTTAAATAACTGGCCCTATGTTTCTTAAGATTCATAACTGGTCATTTTTTGCCGTCCGGTTAGCTCAGCTGGATAAGCGCCGGTCTGCTGAGCGAGAGGTCGCTGGTTTAACACACCGGCCGGATCAACACTTAGGCAGGGGTCTTTTAATGCTGAGCAGAAAGTGCTGCCTTTCTAAAGACATCTGCAAACGATTTGACTTTCTAGTTTTCTCAGATAGGAACAGCCCTCAGGTAGTTAGGTGACAGAATTTTAACCAGTAGGGATCGAGAGCAATTATTGTTTTCCTTGTGGCAAAATACACATTTAACTAAGACAGATCATTGTAAATATTTAAGAGAAGAAAGCCTGAAAAATATTCTCGCCGCAAAAACAAAAGTTAGAATTCAAGCCCACTTGAAGTCAGTCAAATGCTACAAGGAATAATGCGTGACAAGATTCCTTTATTGCCTGTTGAACAACACTTTAACTCTCATCAAATTCAAACTTATCACCAAAGGAAAGTGAGACAATTTTTTAACGAAGACTAGTGAGCAGCACAAAGGAAGACTTCTTGTAGTTGTAAGCTTTTTCGTTTATTTCCGACGCGTTTCGTCTCTTACTGAGACTTCTTCAGGGAATGAATACAACTAGCAAAGAACAGCATATATAACACGTTGTGTGCGTAAGTAAAACTTCCGGTGGAAGTGAATAATAACTTAACTATGCTGTAAACGGACGTTTCAAGAAACGCCTTAATACATATGTTATTGCGTGTTGCTATATTTGTTTGGGGGCCATACGATTAGCGCAATAACATATGTATTAAGGCGTTTCTTGAAACGTCCGTTTACAGCATAGTTAAGTTATTATTCACTTCCACCGGAAGTTTTACTTACGCACACAACGTGTTATATATGCTGTTCTTTGCTAGTTGTATTCATTCCCTGAAGAAGTCTCAGTAAGAGACGAAACGCGTCGGACATAAACGAAAAAGCTTACAACTACAAGAAGTCTTCCTTTGTGCTGCTCACTAGTCTTCGTTAAAAAATTAAAAAATTAAAAAATTAAAAAATTAAAAAAAAAATTAAAAAATTAAAAAATTAAAAAAAACTTAAAAAAATTAAAAAACGTGGCAAAATACACATTTAACTAAGACAGATCATTGTAAATATTTAAGAGAAGAAAGCCTGAAAAATATTCTCGCCGCAAAAACAAAAGTTAGAATTCAAGCCCACTTGAAGTCAGTCAAATGCTACAAGGAATAATGCGTGACAAGATTCCTTTATTGCCTGTTGAACAACACTTTAACTCTCATCAAATTCAAACTTATCACCAAAGGAAAGTGAGACACAAGCAGATATTGAGTTCTCTATAGATCACAAAAGCATGTGAGATGAACATGTAACTTAAAAGTAAAACATTATTTACCTGGTGGGTCATAATACCGTCGACTCCTGACCTCTTCCACGTTGTTTGCAACATAAAAGTGGTAATTACTAGTCAGGATAGCTATGCCAGTCCTTCCAGCAAAATTATAGGTTTTGCAGTCAATAACTTTACATTCCTTGGCATCCTCCAAAAAAACGCAGATAACAATTACGAGTTTCGTCTCCTGTACCCAACTTAAAAGCACCAGATCTATGAAGTTGCTGTGTATTTGATAAGGCCTAATGGAAAAACAACATAAATACAATGTCTGTTATGGGTTAAAATCATATTCAGGTTGATTCTTAATTTCCTTTGTCTCATAGAGTTAATTCATGAATGAATTAGGACTAGGAGACAAAGGAGATAGAGAATCAACCAAGGCTAAAAGCTTTTAACCTGAATTGAAATTTTGACCTGAAACATACATGACATACAGGTAATATTATTCAATGGCTATGCATTTGCTACAAAAAGTATATGTATGAGTATACTCTATTTTTGTACAACCCTTTTAATAAAGTAGCCAACAGTCTATGACTTGTGTTTTTGATGATAATATATTATAAATTACATTCATTTTGCTCATAGTTATGGAAAAATTAATGATTATTTAATTTGTCAGAAAATTTATTTACTTGGGGTGGTTAAAGAATTTACTGACATAAGATATGGCATCAATGGGCTAAGATGAGCTTCAAGTTGACTAGAAGTTGTCAAGCTGTGGTGCTTTACAAACATACATGCATCATGTCCTCTTTTTCAGCCTTTTCATGACACAAAATGATTTAACACTTACCTGTCCCATTGACAAGGTTGTCTTGATTGTGCCATGAATGTCATACACCATCACTGTTTTTAAAATCCAAAATAAAAGGAAGCTTGTGTAAATAAATGTTTAATACGCGATGGTATGTAAACAAAGTCTTGTTGCTTTTGTTCTTCAGCTTGTCTTTCGAATTCTACTTACCAATTTTTTTTCGATTGCCTGTTTGTGAATGCCCATCGGCATTATCGCGGTTGAATGTCTGCTCATCGGTGTCCAAAGTTAGGGTGTTTTTTTGCTGGAAACTTTACTTGTAATTAATTCTGCTTGTAACTTGACCTCTTGACCAGAATTGCTGTTTTTGTGGGACGTGATTGCGTACATGAAAGTTTCGATTTGAATATACATGCCAGAAAACTTCAGAAACCTCCAAGAGCTTTGAAAACAATTTTTAGTAGCGTATAATACAAACCACTTGCGCAATTTTTCATCACGGGTAGCTGCAGTCACCTGCTAGGCAACGAAAAAGTTCACTCGTATCCTGTTCCATCACGGAAAAAAGCAGGCCCAATTTTACGAGCGATTATCTCAAACTAAGAAAGCGCTAAATTAAAAGTAGAATCAAAACCATTGTTTCTCGAAAGTTTTCAAGGATCATGAACACTATTTCAGAGCAAAAGATTAGTCATGTTACGGATGGACGTGTATGTTACAGCTGATCTTTATCAAGCCAAGCGGCCGATTAAGCCCAGAATCGTTTGACGTTACAAAATAAACGTGCTGTTTGTTTGCATTTGGAGCAGGTATTTGAAACTTTAGTTGAGAAAATGAAGCTTGATATAGATGCCCTTGAAGAAACATTCGCTTTATAATTTGAATTGGTCTTGTTTCACGCATACAGTCGCTTGTGGGAATGTAACCATACTGCAAAATTGTAAAATTAGAGAAATCAGTCATGGGTGAATCTTTTGTTTTCTGTCCTGTGAGACTCGATTCTCGACTCGATTCTCGATAGCTTGTTTTCGATTCTCGATTCTCAATTCGCGCAGGAATCGAGAATGGTGAATTGAGTAGAGAATCGAGACTCGCAATGGACTGTCAACTTACTTTTGAACGGTACTGTAACTTACAAATTAACGCCGGAACTTACAGTGCTGTTAAGAACATTTCTTTGATTCTGGCTCTTAAACGTTTACCATGGTGAGTCCTATTTACCCTACAATAATGAGGGAAATGAAACTTGTACTCCCTGTACAAGTTAAATGACACTTAGAAGAAGTCTGATGTACTTACCTATTGGACCACCAAAAGGTGCTGCACTCACAATAAACCGGGATAGATCCACAGCATCTTGCCACTCCATACTGTACAGCTCTACTTTCCTGTTCAAGACAAACACATTTTGCGAAGAAAACTTCTGCTGTAATTCAATTATAGCTACAGCGTGTACATTTAAAATATTCCTCCATCCCTGACTGATTGGCTTAAATTCCATGGCTGCCCCGGTATTTCTTTCCTGAGCCTGTTGGTTATTTGCCAAAATTGAATGATGTTTGCTTTGATTTAAAGGCTGATGTCAAAAGTAAAGTCTCAGACTGGAAAAGGTAAAAAAAAGATTACAGGTACACGCAAGCCAAAGGCCCAAAAAGGCTGGAGCTTATCCCAGCTTCCTTACCATGAAGGATAACTATAGGAGTCTTGCCATTCCCTGTTCCCCCCTAGATGGGATGCTAGTCCATCGGAGGGTTACCCCCTAGCAGTATTTTGCGGGTATCCATTTTTAGTAAAATCCAACTAGTGGTCTATGATCAATGCTGCATTCTGATTGGTTGAGCTTCTACTAGGCTTTATGTTATAGCCCACTAGTAGCAGAAAGCGCCGGCTTTGAAAACCAAAACGATGGCGACTGAATCGCGTTATACTAGCTAAAGTTATTTTGTCTTGATAGTTTTGACCAACTAGTCGGATTTTACTAAAACAATTATTCCTCTCGCCCTCATGGCCTCTGAGTCAACAGCCCATTCGGCCTTTGGCCTCATGCGCTATTGACTCACAGCCTATTCAGGCTCGAGGAATAATATTGTTAAATACACCTGGGTGAAGAGAGGCAAAGTGGTGTAAAGGTCCTTGTCAAAGGAAACCATTCGAAACGGATTGAAACCATTCAAAAAGGATTGAACCCTGGACCTCCAGATCCGGAGTTCAAGGTGTTAACCATTCTGTCAGACACACCTCCAAAGTGGAAAAGGATGCACAGAAATCAAACAAAGAAGCAGAGTGATGGTTTGGCTGTTTTGGTGTTGAAGACCAAGAGTAAATGGTAGAAGATTTCACATGTTATGGGTAGATTAATGCCTCAAGCAAGAACACCCTAAAAGCCTGCCTTACCTGCAACCCAGCCACGAGTCCCGTCAGCAACAGCCAGCCCCAGCCCAAGCACCCATCACACTGAACTGAGAGTTCAGTGGAGAAATAAGGACCACAATAATACTAATAAATAATAATAAGGGGTAAGGAGGAAGGGGAAAAAACACTAAAACTGAGCAACACTGACCAAAACGCCCTGAACACCATGCACTTTAAAACTACGAGCACATCATTGCAAACGCAGACGCATAAAACGCAATGGAAACCACTGACACAGGGGGCACTGGAAATTATCCTGCAACGGGCCTAGTACAGTAACATGAACCCCGGAGAAAACAAAAGAGCATAGGATAACTGCCAGCTCGCCAAAGCGTACCAATATAAAACCCTAACAAACGTCAACGACACGCCACACCATTGCCACGCTAATGCCAAGCTAACTACTGAGAAGCTACTGGAGCTCCTCATCGTTAACTAAGTTAAGTAACTATATTTAACCTCATTAAATTTCCTGAACTTCTCCCTCAAAAACTTTGAAATAACACAAAAAGACACTGAAAACTACCATTTGAAGAATATCAGCAAGAATATTATATCCCCTCATAATCTGGGACTGGCAAAAAACAGGCAGATGTTTGACTACTGGAACTTTACATAAAGGTAAGGATGTCTTCAGCTTGGAGGAAATATTTTGAATGAATAATAAAACAATAATAGGTAGCATTTTATAATTATATGGGCCGAGCCAGAACTTGGAGACAGTCTGATCTGAAAAGAACCACTTACCTATAAAATACCTTTCCAAGTGGATTCCAGTCAACTGTAACGTGAGCCATCTTATTGTCTAAGAGTGAATGAAACGAGTAGCAAGTGTAATCGGGGTAGTTTAACCAGGATCTAATAAGTGCAGCATTTGTAAACTTCTCGTGACCGCAGATCCACCATTTTGTTTTTGCATCTGCACATCAACTGGTCAGCAGACCCTGTAACAAGTAGAAAATCCCATGTTTCCAATCGGGTAATAATTTTCTTCGTGTAAGCGTACATGAAAATGCTGGAAGTGTTCAAGATGGCTGTCCCCAAAGCGAAGGGCTATCGGCCAAGATGCTTCTTTGATGTTCAAATAAATGGATCTCCAGGTACGAAACGTTAAATTCCTTGGATTAAATGTTTGCATTGGTTGCTGTTTTTCAAAATTTAATTTATGAAGTCACTTGGGAAGAGAAGCGGCTGAAATTCAGACTATAACTCTTAATAATATGGAAATAATTATAAGCTTATTCAAGCTTATATTAAGTTTAATATAGCAGAAGTTTGATTCTTTGGTTTTAATTAATTTCTATAATTTTAAACTTAAATCAATATGGCTGTGCAGTATTGGTTATGAGTGCTTACTTCTCTTGATTAATGATGTGAGCCTAATGTGTTAACACTGGGATAATCTAATCTTTTTTATGGATTATTTTGGCTAATTAATTGAAATCAATAAGGTTTCCAATGAGCAACCTCAGTCTGCTTGTAACATAGAAAGAGGAGTAGGTGGGTAGAAAGGAAGACTGGTTTGAAAGAACTTCAAATCTAAAACTCTTAAATTTTGCTTGATTCAAGAATCAATTTTGCATTCTTTGTAGCTGGCAGGATTATTTTTGAACTGTTTGCTGACATCTGTCCTAAGACATCTGACAACTTCAGAGCATTGTGCACAGGTAAGGAAGAACATATTAATGTAGATACATGTACTACCACTGCCACTACCAACTATTATATTAATATTAATAATAATAGTAAAAATGATCATGATAATAATAAGAATATCTTTTTTCATATTACATGTAAACATTAGTGTTTTAGAGTTGAGATCAGTTGATGCGTGGTTGGCCATATACTCACTTGTAAGTGGGATGGAGTCATAATATTAAATTCATGGTGACTTCCTTTTTTTGTCTATTTTACTAGTGCATACATACATACACACATACATACATTTTATTTGTTACACACGTATATCCATTTTATTTGCATTTTAAGATTGAAGCACTATTGTAACATACCCCGCCTTGGGTAGCTATGCTAATCTACAGGGGTCCTGTTTTCAGGAAACAAATACAACTAAAAGT